CCGCTTCAAAGGCTGCGTTCGGAGGAAACAAGCCGTACGTTCCCAGATCAATGCACGATACGGCGCAAAGAGCTCGCGCTCTGTGAGCGAAGCTTACGACTGTTCTTATTTATCTGCGTCCGTCCGACCCTACACAATGGTGACGAAGCTTCGTGCGACCCTTTGTCGAGCGCGTTCGATTGATCCACCGTCGAAGCGTCGATGCAACGTGTCGCAAGATGACCTCGGTGAAATATTTTAAGTCCGTATTGAACCTTTTTTGTTCCAAGCCCTCGTTAGAATTGCTCATTCAGTACTCAAAATACTGTAACCGAGAACGCATTGTGTCCGTACTTAAATTCGACGTATTGTGCTGCAGCCTTTTCACCGTTTCGCCTGAATACGTAATGGCTTATTAATAACTTCATTCGCGTTGAAAAAATCTCTAACTTTTACCTCGTCGCGTTTGTATAGGTTAACGGGGAGGTTTCGTCGTAGGTTTGTGTAGTAGTCGATGTGGGTCCCGTTCAGCTACGACTCGGTCCGCTTCGGTTTCGATTTCTAGATATGATCCGAACGGGCCGACAGTCGATTCCGAAGTCGGTAGTATAACCTCGTTTATGTCAAATTTCTTGTCGGCGAGTTGTCATAATTAAGCCGACAAGGGGGATAGTCGGCGGCGACTCGCCGAAACCTCATTCGAAGAACTTCACTCGTCGTACCGGATGAAGCAATTATTTAAGTTATTCATGCATTGTATTTCCGCTCATTAGGTGTGTATTTATTTAATTTACAACGGCTGGGGGTCGACGATAAGCCGAGGGGCGCGCTCGACTCCGTCGGCTGAATAACAATGCATGCGGGTAGCTAAAGCGATGCTTTTATTTAACTAAATTTATTCAAATAAAGTAGCGCGACCGTTCGACGCAGCCTTTTGTGGAGCGATTTTATGAACTCGGAGCTCGGATGGTGAGCCGTGACACGCCGCGGCCTAATGGAATTATGGTTCAAGGAATCCACCGAGAAGGAGCTCGTCGCGGATAATGTTCTCGAGGACGAGCCGGCACCGAGATGTCGTCGACATAATCTACTTTACTTCCCGACGCGGTTCCTGTCACGCTTATATTTCTCCGTTCAGTGGGAAGAGGCTAAACATTTTAGTCTTATTGCATTTTGATCATATCTAAACTCAGGTGTATCTAAACTCATGGAAAGCAGATATGGGCCCTTTTCTCTTCTCTCTTCTTAAGGCGCGAAAAAGCAGGTTACAACCCTGTATATTGGGAATGAAACCACAAAACATATTGAATACGATTTGAATTATAAACAATAGAATAAAAAGTCCGCACCGAAAGTTTAGCGTTTATCTATGAAGGGGATATCAGTCACAGAATATCAGTGTTGGGACATTAGTCCCAACGTAGCTGAGTGGACTCCTTTTCGGAGGCAACTATTTTATTTTTTTATTATTTTATTATGTAATTATTTAATTTTTGTTTTATTCGTAATGATTTTTATATTGTGTTTGTTAAACGTCTTGCGCTTTTTCCGAATAAACGTCTTCTATTCTACTCTATCTTTTTTTGTAATACAACATCTTTGTAAGTGAAGTGTATAGCATCCGCTAGCAATACAACAAATTCTATATGAGCTGAATAATAATTTTATTTTATGTATTTGTTTGATTATTATTATTTTTTCATATACATTACGTCGCCGGACAAGAGAACCGTGCAGCGGTCTGTTGTCACTAACTCTAACACTTTATTCGATATATTGGAAGGGTTTACATTCGCGTCGAATTCTCTCGAAGTATGTCTTTATTGAATTATGTTCCCCGTAATAGGATCGTAATGAACCGAAAGAGAAATCTCGAGACTGAATCGGCGGCTTGTACAACACGTAAGGTGACCCTCGTCAGGGTGAGAGCGCAAAGTGTTCCGATAACCGACGCGACCGCTTTTTGATAGCATCACTTTGCCCAACTTGGCATCTGGCGGCCATTAGGTCCCGAGCTGGGGATATTGAAAAAGTACCGAGGCCCGCGCTACTTAAACGCGGGATGAACACTTTCGTCTCGTCGTAATGACGGGAGATCGCGTTTTTCTTATGAAGCGAACGAAGCAGTAGAACGACTCGTACGCATTCGATACAGTGATTGAACAACGACTTCGTGGACATTTCTGAATATGGTAAAAAGTGTAAAACGATAAAAAAAAGCTGCACTCGTTTCAATTTCGTAACAAACTAAGATCGAATACTGTCTATAGTTTACGCGAGTGGTACACATTTAAATAAAACACTTTAACGGTTTAAAACGTTTCGGATGCTTTGCAGCAGCCGTGGTCACGGGGAGACGTCGGGCCGAAGTTAAAAATCATTTTCAAATAAGTTTAACTAATATATCGCGTTTTAAACTGTTAAAGTCTTTTATTTAAAAAACCAAGATCGAATAAAACTAGGAAACCGGAAACAGAAGAATCTATACATATGTTGCGTGTACACGACAATTTTCAAACAAACTTAGTCAGCACATTGTAATCGTAATGCCTTACGCATTCTCGATGTGCCTCAACTTAGGTTGCACTCCGGTTAATTGGCGTCGGTTTATTCGGTTCGGTTCTTTTATTTATCTTGAACAGGTAATTCGTTTACACGTGAGAATAGTTTCAACACGTGCCAAGCCGAGACGAGATGTCTGTAATGGATTTTCTGCCTTCAGACTGCGGTTCCAGTTCGCTCTATCTTGTTTATTACTCACATAGCAAATTGAACCGTATTGACTTTAAGTTGATCAGTATTGCTGGTTTAAAAGTATTTCGTGCGATAATACGAATCGTCGATTATGTTTGTTAACGCTTCGTGCGGTGGCCCTTCAGTTTGAGTGGATCGTTATGGTTTACATGAATTTCGGTAAATCCATAGACATTGTTCATTTCTTTCTTTCATTGGTACATCAAGGCGAGTGAGCTGCAGCATCGTAAAGGCTGGAAGCCTTACGCTAGAACACAATTAATTTATATAATATGATCGTTAGTTCTACAAATTCTGCTCGCGGACGAATCGAATCGATTCGCATCTCGAAAATTGTGCAGACGACGACCTTAGCAATTAAGTCGTTCGAAATATTTAATGAACAGTGCTAGTTCCGCGGCGGAAATGACACTTAATCGGCTTAACTTCGCCTCAAAACTTACCGAGCCAACTCACCCCTTCCGTCTCCTTTGGCCCGCTCGCCCCTCCGACCCCCGCCCCGCATCAAAGAAGTCGGAGAATGTGCAATTATGAGATTGTTTTAATTTAGAAACAATGTTGTCGAAGAATCCGCTCACTTCGACCGCGCTCTGGAAATACATACCGAAAATCCTCGGTTTTCTAGACGGCGCTCGAGGATTATTACTTGGAAGTTTTCTATTGCGAATACTTTATGATTATGATTTCACCTAAATATTATTATGTTTATATTATTTCACTTAAAGCGTCCGGGAAAGTCAGGTCGAATACTGCAGGAGAGACAAAGGTGACGGGGGTATATTAAATTATTATCTCCTTCAGTAGAACTCACTCGAACCGACTCCGAAATGAACTTGAACAATAACAAGGCCTCCGACATCTCTTGAAGTTCGATGTCTATTCAAGTTTAGACCAACATTTAACTAGTTGTGGCAAACAAATCCGAGTCCTTCTTTCGCGCTGTGAAGCGTCCGTTCAAATGTTATAAGACTTTCAAACTATGCTAGGGCTCTTTATTTCTCTCAACGTTGTAGTTTTGCTAAGGAAACGTTGAAATATGCGATTAAATAAATATAGATAAAGTGTTAAACGTATTTGTGCGCCGCTTCGTTTCTATCTAGACACAATATTTATATAACAATAACTTCTCTTATATTCCTTCAATTTAACAAAAAATAAGTTATTATTATTAGGTGTGGTCCGTATACAATAAGGTTTTCTATATTAGTTTTCTCAAACGGCTAGGACACGTTATGAGCGTCGGCATTAATGCGTGGCGACATTTGCACTTGCGTTTCGACTGACCCATTTGCGTGGGCTACTCGTCCTCACGTGCAAATACGTACTTCCTAGTACTAGGGGTCAGTTCGGTGCGCTCGATTTTTATCGGAGCTCTACACGAAAAGCAACATCGCGAATAACCAGAATTATATTGTTTTCGTTCCAAAGTGCAGAAAATATTACCGAATCTTCCTCAAATATTTAAAAAGATAACGAAAGGTTGAAATGCCATTCACATCGAACAGACGTCGTACACTCTGTACTGTATAAAGGTCGTTCCGTATCGAATGAGGCTCGAAGAATATCAGTTTAAACGGTTTCAAATATAAGTGAGCGATTGTGTGCCCTTGTAAAAGTCGCGAAAATACAAGAGATTCGGAATCACTCGCGTCGAATAGAGATCTAATCGTCTAGATGGGAATATCAACAAACGGGGAGTGAGTCGCTATTCTGCGAGCGAGCGGATAGTCCTCACTTCCGACACGTGTTTCCTCGGACACACGAGACCGGTCACGTAGAATATTGACGCCTCCAGCGACCCATTCCTTCGAATACAAAGCTCCGACGAGATATACGCGATTTGAAAAACCTCGATTTTTGGCACCAAAATAAAGTCTCAATAAATATTGTGGCGAGAAGTGGAACAGACGCGAGCGCGAAGCGATTTGATTAAATTTAATAATGGAGTAGGGAACTTCTTGCATAGCGTAATTACATTTCTTGGATTCCAATATTCAAGGAATAGTGTTATCTTCCTGATTAAATGCAATGTCTTGAATTCTTAAATAATCCAGCTAGACGGGCTAATATCGGCGCTTATCTCTCGGAACACACGGCGTGGCCCTCATTTAGCCATATCCCCGCGCGAGGCGCTTACGGATAGGGATCATTACGGAGTAACCTAGTTAGTGACGTCATTACAATGATTTGAGTACATTTTGTTGTAGTTTCAATCTAAGAAGTATTATACATCGTATATTCTTTTAATATGAGAATGATTGTTCCAGCCTCAGGTCTGGAACCGGATTTCCTGTACCCCCTGGAGAATGTGACCATCGCGCAAGGCAGAGACGCGACGTTCACCTGCGTGGTTAATAATCTAGGTGGTTATAGGGTGAGTGGCGACTCCGCCACTGCCAGGGTGTGTATCAAACTGACTCAATACAGCTAGCCGAAATAGAGGAGCACAGCACTTGACAACTGAGGTCTTTAATTGGGAGCCATGAGACAGAGGGACCGGTATTCTTCTGTCGTAGCATATATAATCTTTTTTCTAAACAGTGATGTGTAAAACACCATCGGTATTCTTCGTAAGAGTAACACGGTACCAATCACAGACCTCGCGAATAGATCTCTGCACCCACTTTCAACACTTCTCGCACACTCTTTAGCACACAGATCCGATGCACTCCTTCACTCACTTAGACTGTCTCTATCTAGAATAGAGTGTGACACTACTTCGCACCGAGTTTATTCACAATCGTAGCATAGTTAGTGATACAATGTTCAACTTGCACCGTTCACACACTTGCACAAAATTAACTTAAACTCAAGAATAAGTGTCTTTCGAGTTAGAGCCGTTTCACGAAAACGAATAGAAGGATTAATTTTGAGATAATAATCGCTACACGAGTTCGCAAATTTTCAGTGCTTTGATGGAAGAGAGAAAAATTATGATCTACAAGAAGCGTAGTTTTATAGTAGCACGCTGCTGTCAATGCAGACCCGGTTCCTTTGCGAATAGCTGAACACTTTCTTGAGTTTAATAATGGACCAACTGTACTTAGGAGCATGCGAGTCCAATGCACAGCACATTCCAATTAAAACTTCGTTCACTCCTAATTATTTAACCGATAATATCTATGAAATTTTCATTTACATATTTCGTTTATCTTCCCTAAACGTTGTCTATGGTCAATTGTCGATTATAAGAAGATTAATGAGCTTACATTATATTATATTAGCTAGTAAACAGTGTATCGCATTAAAACAAAGATCTGTTTACTTATTTTCATAAACATTATCCAAGGTATCTCACAATTGATTTAACAGATCCTCCACGAGGTTATTCCACTTAAGTAAGGAGCTCTTGCAAAACAGTCACTTTACGAAATTAAAATAAAGCCAGGACAAACCCCTCGGTCCCCGTTCAATCATTTCGAGAGGCATATTCTCCGCTGTCCCCGCGGCTAATCTACATCTCCTATGCCATTATCGATATTTGAGCATTGTTTCCGCACATATTTCTCCTCCAGCTTCCTCTTTATAGACGTCAATAACTAATCGCTTCCATATTCATATACTCGTTTGACGCAGAAAAGAAACACATTATACAATACTAGCCTCCTCTGACATCTAAACATGTGATTGAAAATTATTCTTCTCGGACCTCGCAAAAGTAACATCGATATGCACCGCTGGTATGGATGAGTTCGAAGGGTAACCGCTTTGAAGACATTTTTGATTTGACTTTATGTATTTTGTTCTATTCCCTTTTATTATTATTATAGGTAATGCATGCCGAGTGATATATTATATTTTTGAATAACAATGTGTTAGCAATATAAAAAGAGAACTGAAACGTTCAATTTTTCGGATATGCGACACGGCACACCATTCAAAAACGTTAATATTACATGTTATTTTTATCGGCGTACATTTGAAAAGTTGAACGGAAAAGTTACCGAAATGCACAAAGTATTGTTTGAGCCAACACTCGTAGTGAGATATAGGAGCCCTAGAGCACAATTTAGTGTTGCACCGGTTGTTCCAACTTGAAGAATAACAACACTGGTAGTATCTTCACTTCTATGATAAAGCACTAACTTTCTTTAGAGCACTTAGCACTTCCTAGAACCTATTTTGTCGTTACGTTACAGTTAATTTTATAAGAAACTTCGAGAGACATGTGCAAAATAAAAAATAATTTCTAAAAGGCTCCACCCGCTTCGAAAGCGTTCAGTGTCATATCTTTGAGGGTAGTCGTTTTTTTAGTAGGCGCTATGCAGGAAATTAGCTTCTATTGCGACGTCGACGCCTCGGTGAAACGGCCGAAACGAGGGCGTTCGCAGAGCGCGCCCACAGTGCGCCTCGTAGCGGGAATCCGCCGAAAATGTAATTAAAAATTCCATGAGCATTTTGCGAGTTTCTCTCAACGAGATAGTGTTGCTCGCTCAAGGATCGTTTCGCGACTGCCTCCCGGGAAGTCTTCGCTCGCAATTAGACCGCTCCTCGTTTCTTTGCGACCGCGGAACCCAGAGATAATCAAATATGCAATCCTCTCCGTGCTCAATTGAAATCCTTCCGATTCGAAGCTTTCGAGCGAGCGCTGCGTTTGTAAGTTTACGTATATGACGGAGCGTCGCGTTCGTTCCCCGAGACAGGTAGCGTGGATCAAGGCGGATACGAAGGCGATTTTAGCGATACACGAGCACGTGATCACCAACAACGCGAGGCTGAGCGTCACCCACAACGACTACAACACCTGGACGCTGAACATCCGCGGCGTGAAGAGGGAGGACAGAGGACAGTACATGTGCCAAGTCAACACGGATCCTATGAAAATGCAGGTAAAGCGTTTACTCTATGCACGCTACGTTTAGCGACCCCGCTTCGCAGTACTAATTGAAATGCAATATTTTTCCGCAGACGGCTTACCTAGAGGTCGTGATACCACCGGATATCGTTTACGAAGAGACGTCGGGGGACATGATGGTGCCGGAAGGTGGATCCGCTAAATTAGTTTGTAAGGCGAGGGGGTATCCTCCTCCGAGAATCGTATGGCGAAGGGAAGACGGCGGAGATTTGATCTCCAGGGGCGGCCCACAAGGAAAAACAAAAGGTGAACGATTAATGTTGATCATTATTTCCATGCGCAAGTGTCACTTTAAACCGGGACGAAATGATATTTTCTACGCTTCTAAGTGTAATCAATAACAACTCGTCCAGCAGAACGCGCCCGATTGTTTTTACAACAATCAATATGGTTCGTTCGCCGAGGCCGCAATAAAACCTTTCTACATTATCGCGGGCGTTGATTAGATTTCATCATAAAATTATGTCGAAGCGCTTTAATAAACAATTAATGCAAACTACGTATTATCGTTAAGCGATATGGCTTAATGATCGGTATGTTCACCCGAAGCCTAGATACGGTTCTATTATGAGGTTCCAGCTGGCTGTAAAATTATCATGCCATAACAGGGAATTACATCCCGCTGGAACGAATGCTTTGGCTACTGTACATTGAAATAAATGTAATTTAATATGAAGATAAAAATCGATAAAAAGTCGATAACACTGCGCCCGGGAGAAAGTTAACTTATTTGCATTTCCTTCGACACGTAAGACACACGGCCATTCATTTTACGATACCAAAAGTATTGAAGCGATAAAAAACACTCGAAAACATTTCCGCCTCATAGTTCGTGTATTCTAAGTAACCGTAACGACAAATCGAAACAGTGTTTGTACCGGGCAGATGCAGGGGCATCCGAGTGCACTGCGTACGATCTATTCTATCCACCCAGTTATGCGGATCGGAACTGATGTAGTCATTTTCAAATAAATCATGAAATAACACAAAATTTATGGGTCTGGGATTTCATGCAAATTTTATGACGGAGCGTTTGCGTGCTGCGGCCGTATTATTGGGACACTTAATTGAATTAGTCGCATAATTGCACCGAGTGCGCGTTAGAAGATACAACCGGCCGGGATTGTTTTCGTAAATAAAACTTCCAGGCGATTTCTCATAGAAGTGGCGCCGATAGACGGCGTGGAAGTTTAAGAAACGTCGGCAAATAAATCAGAGCTTAAAATATTCACTATTGAATCTTAGCAGTAAATCAGACCGCAGTGCCTCGGAGCTCCTATTACCATTCACACCGCCCTTCTAATCCCGCGGGATTACAATCTCGAGACCGCCCGGGAATAATTACTTACCTACTCATCTCTCCATTCGGTCAAATAAAGATTCAGACAAAGGGTTATCTGGCGATCGCCGAATTGTGCGATTCATAAATAATCAGATACGAACTTTACATTCGGTTTCAAATTTTTAGCCATTCGATAAATTACGCGCACGTTTAATACACAATAATGAACGCGTTTCAATGACCGAAATGACTTTTAAATATTAATCATGTATGAACGTCAGATATGGACTGCGGAGCCATAAATTTTAGTAACATTTCGCTGCAACGAGTTTGAGTTTAATGATTTCAAAATATAGTCGCCGATCGGATCGCCCTGTGAACACTGTGTTAAATTCATTCCATAAAACTCTATCAACAATCTTGATGATAAAATGCAGTTGAAACGCTGAGAAATCGACGCGTCGCATTCACAATAACTGTTATAAGTAAAGGGAATCGTGACGAGTGGCAATCGGCAACTGTAGTGACAGGGTGATTAATCGGCAGCTCCCACTTAACCCCACCACTGTTCGAGCGCCGACGGCCATCAGTCAATTCATTAAGTTAACAAAGTACTACCCGTAATGACTTTCAGACTATACGGGTAGTACTACGGCCTTCGAGGTTGAAACGTCGTAACGCCTCTTCCGGCCATAAGAAGCACTCTGCCTGGAGTCTGTCCAGGCAAAGGCGGCGCTGGTTATAACCAGTGACTCCAAAATTGTTTGTTTGGTTACTTCATGTCAGAAACAATAATCAATTTGAGTGAAAACTGTCATTAAAGTGGTCGTTACGAGTACCCTCCATAAATCTTGACGGAAACAACGCGAGCCACCTATTGCAAGGCCTCCGAGACGTCTAATTGAATATTAGACGGGACCGAGTCGTTGCTGTCAAAGCTGTTCACATTGAGCGATGTGTTGTTCATATATTTTGTCCCCGTTTGTCTCAATACAAGAACGATTACTATAAAATATAGTAATTAATCTACTCCGGCAATATGCATACATATGCTTACGGCGTGCGATAACAATGTCGATAAGGGAATGAGCGACAGAGTGGCGAACAAAGGATATCGTAACGCGACATTTGTCCCTCAACATCCCGTATAAAACATATTCCGATGGCAACGGCGTGTCGCGTGCCCATTTGTTTCGTGTTCTAGAGTAAATTATGTAGATAAGCGAGCGAATGAAGGAAACTTACTCAGACTGATGCAAATTAACTCCGCCATCCTTCCATTCGACGCTTTTCATCTACTGAGCAAAGTTTAATACTGATATTATGAATACCTTATAGAAATGTGTAAATTAGACATTCCGAAATTAGAATACGTTACGGAGCTTTCGAGGTGCGTGTTCATTTTCATAATGAGATCGACGCGACTCACAAACGTCTGCTCTCGTCACTTAAACGTTCGCACTAAGAGACTGGGAGAGCACTAGAACCGAGCGGCACTTGACTTATGACACATTGACGGGCCAAGTTTATACGAGCTGCGAAAAGAACGCGGGTGGCACAGAGTCGGTTGTTTATCTACAATGGAATCTACCGCCTTACTCCAAAGAAGCCCGGCGACTTCACATCGAATGTGATTTTTTTTAACTGACCCCGCTCTATGCAAACCGACTATTGTTGTAACCGGGTCGAGCGTAATTAATAACTACAAATAAATAAGGAGTCTTCAACTCTTACGGCAGTCAAATTGTAAATTTAAAACTTAATAATTATATGAATTAAGTGGACTCTCTCGGAAGGTCGTCGTTCAAGTTGTTTGCTAACGAAGCGCCGCGCGGCCGAAGCTCTACACTTTAAACCGCCGACTCCCTTCGGCTCCCTTCGAAAATATTGTCCCAGCTCTTTATCCTCTCGTTCGAATTCACCGTTGTAAACGTACTCGGGTAACAAGGTGCCGAGAAAGCGGTCGAGTTCAACCGCTAACCGAGTTCGTTTATAGACTGTCTGCTAGAGGTGTCAAGTGTTTTTGTAGGCTCTTCGCGGAAATGTAAGATAAGCACTACACTCCATAGGACAAATATTTATTGGCAAATTAGGGGCCGATTAAATAAAAGTTTTCGATCAGAAATTACTTTTCATTTGTCGTTGCTATATACAAAATCGAATACAATCCTTTACGCTCCGCTGTACATATATGTTTTATATTTCAGCAACCATTCTTTTTTCGCAGTGACGTCACTGGAGGGTGAGATAGTGAACCTGACGAAAGTGACGCGGTCCGAGATGGGCGCATACTTATGCATCGCGGCAAACGGCGTGCCGCCCTCCGTCAGCAAGAGGATCATGCTGCACGTGCACTGTGAGTCCATTTTCAGCAAAAATTAGGCGATTTTTATTAGGACATAACATGTACTTCAAACCGGCACCCTTTCCATTTCAACGTACAGACCGAGCACATTTCAATCGATGCTCTGAGAGTCGAAGTTAATCACCACATTACGAATTCAAAACGCGAATCAATTCATTCGGCGATAAAATCGACTCACCTGCGTACGGCGGGCGAAAAGCCGAGCTTATCGTTTGATCTGTGAGGGTAATTTGTATCGGAGCCGTTCGACGCTCGCTCGGTCGGAGACTCCGTCGGGCCGCCGTCTCCGACACGTAAGCGATCGGGAGATTTTCGCGTTATCACGTATCATCTTCGCCGCGTGCCTCGCATGCCGATTGATCTGGTTCGTATTCGACCCGCGCTCGGCGTCCTGTTTACTATCAGTTTGCTAAAGATATCCACTCGTCACGGCGGTCTTCGCTATTATTGAATCGCGCGGACCGTTTAATGTATTCGTTGCATTATTATTTTGCGTACCTTTGAACGTGTGCCTGCGGGCTCACTATAGAAGGACACTCTACTCGACGGCACTCGGGCCAAATTAATGTTTTATCTGCGCGATCTATTCTCGTCCACACGTCGGAACTAGAGTCCGTTCCGCATTTCCATTCGCAACTACTGCGTCGATACTCGTAGTAACAACATGACCCGAATTTGAAGCCGTGATTAGGTGCATCGGACCGCAGCTGCGGAATTCGCCGCTCCGCGCTCATTACTTAATTCGATATCGTTTTTCGATTGGTACGTTTACAAGCCGCGAACTTTAAAGTTTTTCAGCCCGATAAAACAGAAAAGGCGATTCCGTGCGAGACATTATCGACGTTCCGCGGTAACGTAATCCATCAATGTGGGTAAAAATTCAATTTTTGTATTATATTTCGGCGAAGCCTTCAATCATCGCGGAATGAACGACGACTCGAAATCCACTCCACATTTGGTTGTATTTTGTTAAAAGCTACTCGTTTAGAGCTCCGAATTTTTCAGTAACAAAACAGTGGCGAAATTATCGAATCAAAAGTGCGGCGACGTTTTAATGAAGGAGCTTAATTAATCGTTCTAAATTCACGAATTGATTTCGCAGTTTTAGTCCGATTCGTGTAAAAAGTTGTTCGTAGCCGGTCACTTAACAAGCGGGCGCCCGAACGTGTCGTCCGGCGCGTATTTGCATTCTGTTATTGGCATTTCCGATGTAAACACTCGTCTGATTGGATTGTGTAGCTATCCACTGTAGGCGTGCGTAGCCATCGGCGCACTTTGCAGACGCGAAGAGATGAGCTTTAATTCAGTTAACAGGTGAGAGAAATGGCTCGCGTATTACGGAGACGGACATATTTAAAAACGAGCTGCGCAGACGTGACCTTTCCGTTTGCGCTAAGAATGTAGCGCACGTAGCCCTCGCTATGTTTACGAGTACCTATTCTGTAAAATGAAACAAAGTTGCATTATGGAAATGCGTTTAGAGCATCCTAATATTTATGCAAGTCTAACGGCTAAGCGCGCGGTCCGACTTCGCGGAGACTCGCGCTACGTGGATTAAAAACTGGTATATCTTCGTGAATTTTAATCCGGATGGGTTGCGAAAGCCACGCCGTTCGCAAGTGAATTTATTGTACAGTACACACCCGCACACGCGTTTTATATTCGTTATCACTTTCGTCTTTTCGCTACTAACGTTCGCCCGTTCTATATGGATAGACGATATGAACAGAATATCTCTGTGGATGAGGATTTGTTTTACATCTATTTATGTTGCAGTACGGACTCGACTGCAAGAGCACTCGCAGGTTTTTTGGTTGAATCGGCGTCAGTTTATTTGACCGCCGCGACTGACACTGTGGTGACGATTGATAACTAACACCAAAATTAATTAAGCCTTGGGGACTGTTAGCTGTCTCGAGTAAGTTTATGTAATTTTCCGATGGGTTTCCACAATAAATAGTAGATTTCACAATCACGCGCAGAAGTGCAATTAATAAGTAATATAATAAAATAAAAAGTTGCAAAGTATGAATAACATGTATAAATATGATGTATTTAATAATTATATCTTAAGACAAACACATAAAACCTATTATTTAAAAGCTAAAGGGGGTGAAGTCATCCAAATACGAGTAGACTTGCATCAAAGTAGCGTTTCATCTTAACCTGACGAAACACATTTCCGTACAAGTACTGAAGTGACATTTTGGAGTTTAGCTCCTGCAAAACGCAATTTAAACCAAACAAACAAACTAATACCGCCGGAACCCTTCCGCTCTGTTTAATTACTTCGCAAAGAATGCGTCGCGCTCACCCGACGAGGAGACAAAATGAACGCTCTCAAATATTTAATTTGAATTTCCCTCCAAAGCGAACGATAACAGTCTCGCCGGTTTATTGCGTGGTCAATTTATTAAGTTCATTCTCAGAAGACTCGAAAACGCGCTAAATTACTCCGAGGAAAAGAAAACAAGACAACGGACGGAACAAATTGTTAACGATTTGCATACGTCCTCTTGAATTGATCTTTGCTGCGTTGAGTCGTTCTCTCTTGTACTTTTAATGCACTAAATGGAAGTTAGAAGAGCGCTTTTCTGAAACCGCATCTGCTCTTAAGGTTACTTCGAGCCAAAACGACTGCGGCGCATTCCTAGCTAATTTCGGGCGTAGAAAAAATTCAACTCGGCATTAAAGGAAGGTTTTTATTTCCATTGTAAACGTTTACTTCCCCCGACTCTGTAAAATGTGGTAAACACTTGCATTTAATAAAACGAGGAATATCGAGAGCCGAGTGGCGAATCATCCGAAGCAGGTCTACAAAACAGCGTGCACTGCTCTCGGTTAATCAAACTGTCACTTCAAGAATTCCGCGCGAAATCCTTTCTGGGAAAACTCCCCCTAACTTTTGATCGCCGGAGAGAATTCCGATCTGCTTATATAAGAAAATTTGTTAATAGCTCCCTCTAATTTCACCGCTTTTTATGATATAGCTCACGGGAAGCTCTCCGTTACGGCGAGGAGACCTCGCTCCGACCTATTAATTTGAACAAAAATTCTGATCGCGCAGATTTGCTTCTAAATTGGCCACTCGAACTCGTAAAAGCCGTCCGAAGGAACTTAACGACGGTCAAAGAGAATAACCGCAAATAAGCTGCGATCCAAAGCCGATGGAGAAAATTCCTTTTCCTTAATTCACTCTAAACAGACTTTAAGGGATGTCGAAAGCGCCGCTTACGTTTGTACAGTAAACCTTTAGACGCTCAAGTCGTCGCCTTTATTAATCGGCTCCCTCTCTCTTTTCCAGTTCTTGTTCACGTTTCTTAACTTTTCGCGACTGATAAACATGTTATCGTGACTACTATGAGTATACGTAAAAAGCCTAGAATCGAAAAAGACAGAACTCGAGCGAAGTCGACGGTTCGGCCGCAATATCTCTGCGGACACCGAAGCGGTGAAAACTTGAATTAATTGGGAACTAACTTTGCGAGACTAGTCAAATAAAACTCACTTCAATATAAACATTTGTAATGCAGCCAGTTCTCAGATAATATTCAAAGTAAACACCTGACAGCGGCGACGGAGTTCTCGCGAAGTGCTGTAGCGGAACTGTGCAAACAGGCTGCGCGAGCGGCTAATGTGCACACTTGCCGGTTATTACGCGAATTCGCTTCCCACCGCTTCTAGAGTAATCTTTTATGCAAAGCTGTGTCATATTCCGTTCGCGACATTTGGCCCGCCTCTCTGGCCGACTCGACGACGCGACGACGCGATACCTACGACCATACCGAGAATTGACCCATCCGCATATGACTAATGTATTCAACGCAAACAAACATTAATATATTAAAAAGCTCTCAAATAACGATCCCTTGCTCTGTGCCAGCGCTGCACATTATACGTGATATCGGGCTATCGATTATGATTAATTCCGGCCGTAATGACAGCGTGCCAGCGATATAACTACTAGCGATGATGGTTTGATGGAATCTAAGCCCATGCATCAGGCGACGGATATGCCTAAATTTCAGGTATCTCTGAGTATCGAAAGATAAAGGGGACTAAATCGGACCGCGTAGACGAATCCGTTTCTCGTGTAGCGAACGCCTAGAGAAATATTACGCGGTCGGCGGAAACGTTCCGCCGTTTGAAACGTAAAACCTTTTCCAGTATCTGCATAGTAACGCACGCACGCCAACATTTCGACTGCAAATGGAAAGTTGTGTAAACAAAAATGCTAGTAAAACCTCAGCATATGCGAATCGCGGTGGCGCACTCGGCGAGAACGTATCGAATCGCCGCGAGCCAGAACACACCGTATTTCGTCGCCATAAACGTCGGAACTGCGCGCTCGAATTTCACTAATGGGAGTGCGCGGTTAATTGTACTTTGCGCCGCACCGCAAACCACTCACTTATGTTTATATTCGCTATTTGTGTACTAAAATTAATGTACCCGAAAACTCATAAAATAACCTCTAGTAAAGCTCCGAAAAGCTTCAAAGGTACAACTTTTTCTCAAGGGTCGAAACGCTGGCACGTTTTCGTTTCATTTCGATGTCTCGCTCGATAATACCCGGCACGCTTTCAAGTCTTCGAAAACCAATCTATACAAATTTTAAATTAATGAATGTTCGTCTTTATTCTGACTAACAGCCACTCACCTGTCAATCCAGCTTCAAATATTTTTCCAGTCCATCCACTAGTGCAAGTGCCGAATCAGCTGGTCGGCGCTCCTACGGGCACGGACGTCGCTCTGCAGTGCCACGTGGAAGCTTCGCCGAAAGCCATCAACTATTGGACGAGGGAGAACGGTGAGACGATCCCTTTTTACAAACTATACCTCGATGAAAATGAAGAGTGAAACTCATAAGCGAGTGACGATCTCTGTTTGCATAGAGCGCGAGGCCGGTGGCCACTCTACAAGTCTCGGCGCGGAGCTCGAGAACGGGACGAGCGACTAATTTCATTATTCAAAAAGCACATCGGAAGCGTTAAAGCAGTCATTAAATGAGGCGTAATTCATATTTCTCGGATCCTTTGACGGCGGAGGCTAGTGTCCGTAAAGAACAGCCTTTTTACGATGGTATTAAAGAGAAATATGAGATGCTCCACGCTCGTTACGTTTAACAAAGATTTATTTAGACATTGATTATACGGCGTCAATGTATTGCATTATTAATGCCTCGTAATTGTTAAGGGGCGGCATTGATATATTGCCGGGTTCATAATTTATCGACGAAATAGAATTTTCGTAAACGTTTCGAGTGCTAATTACACGTTCGTAGATAAATTACAGATTCTCAAATCGTTTCAGTCGTCGAAATAATATTATAAAAGTAATAAATAAAAAAGCCCGCATCAAAGGATTTATTTTCTGTACAATTGCGTCGCACGGAAGAAACGAGTGACTTCTTTTAAAGTCGCCGAACCTTCCTAAGAGTTTCATCGCGTCAGAGAGGTGCTTAAGATAAACATACGTTCGAATGCGACAGGGTCTAAAATAATTGCCGTCCTGTAAAAATACCCGCTAACTAATACGAATAAGCCACTTAACCTAACAAAACGTCGGGGGTCGGCACATTACTTACCATTACAGTGACACCCCTACGGTGAAAAGTTGTTTATTTAGCAGGCGGGTCTCGGTGCAAGCGTAAAGTTTTCACTGTTCAGCTTTATGTCAAAAAAGGTCAAAGTTAACTTAAACGTATTCTACATTACGCGTCAAATCGCTCGAGGCGAAACGAGCGTTCAGAGGCGAGAAGATTACCGCGGAGCAATTAAAATTTATACACAATTATACATCGGATCCGAAAAGGAAACGCGATCGATAGCGCACTTAATTACGTGAGTCGTAATCGTATGCGCCGCGCCACTCGTTCCAAGCGACGCGAAAAGTGCCTCGTACGGTATGTTCAGACGCGACCGATGCCACGCGAACGATGCGAGCGCCGAAACGGCCGGATAATGCGTCGAGCGGAACGCGTTCGCCCACTAAACTCGAGTTAGAAGTGGATTTACGTCGCCCGCCGCGACATATGTGCCCGGACACCGCAGCCGGCCTCCGAGCCAATGCGACGAATAAAACTTTTCACAGCGAATTCTTCGACACGCATTCGAATTGTTTTTCGCGGTTTACAATATTTGCACATCGTATTTGATGTTCGGAATTAGAATGGAGAATGAGTCGAGACTGAAGGACGCGCATAATCTTAGGCGACGAAGACATTCGATATATAATCGCCCGTAACGAACATCGAGTAGCTGGACAGACATCCGGCGGGGTCAAATGCAGTTACGGCGGCTGGCGAGCCGGCCATTATGCGGGTAGACCGACGCGGACAGACCGCGCAAAAAGCGGACCAAATTCTATTACCGGCCGATATGCAACGGAGACCGCCAGCCGCTTCAAATTGCTTTAGGCTACAGTCGCGATATTTAGTATCCCATACCACAATATCCGAGCAAATAAAATTCAATTCTATATTCACTTTTCAATAACGCAATACATTTGACGAGTCACGCTCGCCGTGGCTCTGTCGATATAAAAACCGTTTCGATGCGTGTTCAGACGAACGTCGGCCTTCCCGGCTCTTCTGCGACCATAAATTGCGGTCAGTTGCAAATTCAATTAAGCGATACGTAGCTGACGAGAGGGGACAAGCTGTAGAGCGGCCGGGACAAGGAAAGGGTGGGTCCGGCGCTGACGTCGTGGATGAGGCGTGGGACTTCGACGGCTCGTCGATCCTTTGATCTTCTTTGTCTCAAGTCTTGGCCAAATGAAATAATCGCCACATTAATATATGCTATCGGTTACTATCGCATATATAAGCATTTCTACAATAAAATAAAATAAAAAATAAATGTATGTCCATTAGATTCGCTTAGATTAAGGGAGTTTAGTCGCTTTCGGTACAAACGAAGCGAACCGTCACGAAGACACAAAAGATGTTTATAATGCTTCAACTTACATAATTGCGCAAACGTCATCGATTGTTAATTAATCGTGTGGGCAATAAACAAAAGAGGGCGTAACTGTCGCCGACAGGCAGCGTCAAGGTGTCAGTTGCACGGAGCACGCCACAGATTTGTGGTCAATTCGAGCCGAAACTCGCGCCTGTGGGCCGGCTTGACGCGTTTGACTAGCTAATGAACGATCTTGCGCTCTATAGATCCGATACACGCAAACGCGGGACCTCAATTAATCGAGGGTCAGTGCGCGTAGATCTTAAAAAACGGCTGAAAATTGCCAAGAATTCCGTTATGAACCGGATATCGCCGAAAAAAGAAGAAATTCCAATGAAATGTCGCCGTAATAAAATAAGCCTCGGTGCTGCGTGGAAACGAAAAATAAAACTCGTCCACAAAAATAAACGGGACAAGAAGAATGCAAGCAATTTTTAATGTAGAACGAGCGGCGCGACCCTCTACCGCGGTTTTGATGTCGCGACTCGAGCGAACATCCCGGCAGGCACACTCTTTAGGTACACGTTTTAAGCGCTTCTCCGAGGGAAGATGATTAATTGTACTCATCGTTATTACTTCCTTTGTTATTAGCTTTGTTTACAGTGCGAGATCATTTTTAAATAAGCGAGTCGTTTTACGTTCTTATCGGCGGTTAACGTAACGTTTACTCTTCGGAAGGTCCTATATAGCGATGGAATAGTAAATTGATAGGAGCGTCGACTAACCGATACCCGGTGAATGCGCACGGCCATTACTGTCGTCGCGCCACGCACGTGTATACAACATATTTCATATCGATATCGGAACATTGTTCGGATGTGGCCGAATATAAATGATCGGAAAGGGCCTATCGGGCGAGGGCGAGGAAGCGACTCTATCGAGAATCCTTCGCGTATTTTAACAACCGTGTACTGAAACGGATCCCCGATTGACGATAGCAGTGGTCGTGAGTTAGGTGTAGTTTCCTGACTGTAACGACGGTGTTTAACTTTACAGGGGAAATGATCATAACCAACGACAAGTACCAAATGAGCGAGATCAACAGTTCCGCCTACAGCGTGCAAATGCGTCTCGTGGTGAAGAGTATTCAGGACGGCGACATGGGGGGCTACAAGTGCATCTCGAAGAACTCTATCGGCGACGCCGAAGGGACCATCAGGCTGTACAGTGAGTGCTGTGCCATTTGGCTCAAACAATTGAGAGAGGAATGCGTTGAATTAGAATTAAATTATAATGAAAATGTCGCGCTTTGTTCTAGAAATGGAGCTTCCATATCTTAAATCACGAGGCGAAGACGCAGAAACGAATTACGTAGAGACAAACGACGTGCGGTCCAGTCTCCAAGGCCCGCTGCGGGAAGGGGGCCATCGAGCTGAAGACGCGGACTCGGGGGGCCGGCCGTCCCCGGCTGCCTCCTACCGCATAGCTCCCCACGCGATCTTTTTAATATCTGCCTTGGCCTTTGCGTGCTAAACTTTTCTAAACAACGAACAACTTTGTACGAATAGAATCGTTAAAAATTTGGACGCGAAAGCGATCGATGCTTAGCGACCGAGAGCGAATTTAAGACTAGTGTAGAGATTATCGCGCTTATTTGACCTCCACAGTTCTGTAGAGAAGAATTTACGAGGTTTACATGACCGTGTTGAAAATGAGCAAAATGGAGTTGTATAGTATCCTTAGATGTGGTACCGCTGTTATTTTAAACATTGTACTTCTTTGGTCATGTACCTAAAGCGATAGTGTAAAATAAAGTTATAGTTACTCAGAATTTTTTTTACATCTGTTAAGTGTAAAACCGTTCGTAACACGTTTTAGAATCGCGAATTATTTATTAATATTTTAAATCCTACTTATGATCTCTACGGGCTGGGTTTGTAAATATTATTCCTTAGATTAACAAAAATTAAATTTAAAGATTGTGTTACTTCGAACGTTTAAATGAAAATATTAAGTTTTAAAATAGATTTTGCATTTACCTATAGGTATAAATATAACGACAAATATATGACTTGTATTTTATTGTTAAAAGTAATGTTGTTGAACTATTAACTGTCGCCCGTTGAAATCGAAATGGACGTCGTAGCTTTAGTTATTGAAATAAAATGGTCCTATGTTTTTGATTATCTCGACTATATTATTAAATAACTCGTCTTTTAATAATGCTATATCTTCTGAAAGCCTAGTAACGATAACCAGAATCACGGTCTCCGAGCATTCTAAAGACCGAACTTACTTTTTGCACCATCCGGGACTTAGGCCTCAGACCTCGCGATCTGCAGTCGAATGTACTAACCACTACGTGCGTACGAGGGGTTAAATAAACAACTACCATGTTATGTATGTGTTAGGTAGAAATTAAATTGTTTCAGAGCCAAAAAGTCAAGAAGTGTTTGTCTTTCGTTTTGTTAAAGTATCCGATTATAAGCAGTATTCTGCATACGGCCATGTAACAAGTGTATGATATTGCCTGCGAAGTATAAATTATATAAACGTACATTTTGTCTTTTATTTATCGTTTAATGTTCGAGTCGTGACGCGACGATATATCAAAGTCACACGAGATTCACATTTGTACTTTTTACAAAAAATAAGTATATCGTAACGAGTTCCATCACGTTACAATATAGCCGATGGAGTGGGAGTTATATGCGAGTGTTCTAAGAGCGACGCACTGGAATTGAAAATGAGACCTAATTGCGTTTTGCACAAATGATGCCCGCAAGGTCGCTGAAAGTTGATTATTAAAGCAAATACCGACTTCGGTCAACTTTCTACGCTGATACCATAAAGACGAAATATTTGTCGAGTTTTTGTGTGTGATGAATAAACGCAGAAACTACTGTTCCCATGAAAAATACATATTTTATCTTAAAGAAGGTAAATCCTTATGATAAAAACATTGTTAGAAAAGATTACGTATACGTATTTATGTAACGTAACTCAAAGTAAAAAAATGCTTCTAAACATCTATCATCGCGTAGCCATCGAAATTGTGGATATACAATAATGTAATCAACGTATAATTTTTCTAAAAAAATTATCCATCAGTATTATAATTTTAACCATTACAGTCTAACTGTAATTTGTACTTTCATTGTAAAACATTTAATTTATATGCCACCGCTACGAAAGCTACACATTGATAGTGATTATCAACAAAATTAGGACTTTATATTTAAGAAACTACTTGAAAATAATTTTAAAAACTTTTCAATTCAGTCACGGGGACGGCGACTACTTAAACTTGGGGAAGGAATTTTCCCACCCCCAATTTAAGAAGAGCTAGAGAGAGAACACAATTTTAAAAATTCCTAAGAAATGTCGCAAATTAAAAATAAAAATGTTTACGAGTGTGTGTGTGTGTGTAAAAGTTGAACTTGAGAAATGTTTATTCAATAGCGAGTAATGCTAGTCTTTTATAAAAGACTTTAGAAAGTTAATTCGGCCTTGTCCTATTGTCCGCTAAATGTAGCGAGCGAAGCATCGTCCGGTAATAGTTCTATCCGCATACACGATCAAAAGCTCTAAGGTTGAAATAGTATCGAGCGTAGACGCGTAATGGGATTAATCGATTCATTCGCCAAGTCACTCACATCACAAATATAACTCGATTAGAATAACAACTCTTGAATGGCGCAGACGAGTTGAGTCGACCCGCGTAATTGGCTCCTTCGGATGTGGAGTATTCGAGAGTGATCTAGATTGGGTGTAACCGCATGCATTAGCCAAATTACCTGAGGCTCCATTGTTTTCGCCGAGGCCACCCCGGCTAAGAGTTCCGGGTGCGAGCGAATGGGACAGCTTCAAATATTTTGATGGTCGCTTTATCAAACCGAGAAGCGGAATGTAAAGTACAAAATACACAGTCTTTATTACTCAAAAGTTGTGTGCTATGTAAATATGTGTTAGTATCGTATAGTAGATACGAGAGAAGTTAAAAAAAAACCAAAAGCCTCGCTAAACTTCACTTCCCATGTGCGGAGAGTGTACTTTTGGATATTTGTCAAAGCGCCGGTTACCCGGGACCGGGTCGGGAGGGAGCCACGATAACCTAATATAGGCGTTGGTACACATCCGAGTGTCCCGAGAGTGTTACAGCTTCGACGCTACAGTTTGCATTCGAGTGCTCTCCGCACAAATACTCAAAGGAAATCGTTGGAAATTACTCCATTGAAGACAAATTTCGGCCAGCTCTCTACGAGCGTTCGACGTCACAGCGGCGGACGTTTGAGTAGTGTCTTATGCATAAACACAGCTCGTCCACTGGGCGGACAATTCTCAGTACGTGTGGATGCGATTCAGAAAGGATAGTCATCGCACTTCACGATTGTTTTGCTGTTTTCATTTTCATGCAAAATCAAGAATTCTTGCCTCCTTAAAGGTGGTATGAATGCATAATAGAGTATATATAGAGTTAAACAAAATTAAAATACTATGTTAATACACGTGTAATGTAGCATACGATACGGTGAAGCTTATTTGCGTCTAGAATAAATAGATGTAAAATGTTGTGCAAATCGTAATTCGCAGCTAAGAGCATGTTTGTTTACAAGGTATCGTGGGAATAGCCTCGGCGTGCGGGACGTCCGGTGACAATTTGCATAACAATAGCTCCGTAGTTTCCTCACCAGATTGATGATAATGTTCGCCGCTCATCACTCACGTCCCGATGAACTGCGCTACAGTGCCTCGCTTCGTTTGATACTTTAAATAAGACCGACGCGTGAAAGCTACTTTGCCTCGAATTCGGTAGTAACTCGTTCGATTTAGTACGTTTCATTATTTGCGTGCATGACATATTAATTTGGTTCGCAAGGTTACACAATTGGCTCGACCTAACATTGGAATGAATATCCGTAAATGTATTTCACATTACAAATCGAATCGACGAATTCGCGTCGTTCCCGCGCGTTCGCAAGCCGCGAATTACGTCAGATCAATTAGCTATCTGATTCGACTTCAGCGGCATAATTACGAGGAGGACCGCACCGTCCGAAATCTAGCGACGATAGGCAAACTTGCCGAAACTAAAACGGATCTGCACGCGTGCAGCGAGATCTTCGTATGCGCCCCGGCGTCGCTCCGTCTAGTTTAGAATTCTATTCTCTTATATTTCAATAAGAATATATATTCAGAAACTTGCATATCGCGATTCAAACCGTAAAAACTGTTTAATTAAATATTCGTTGTAAACATAATGTTCATTATAATCGCTTTATTGAATTTGTTACAAAATTAATTAGAATTCAGTGAGTAAAAGCCGATTCAATAATAAAAGCGAACGTCTTAGATCAAAATCAATTAAAGTTTTGAGCGCTGATTTATACTTTTAGAAGCGTCATCTTCAATTGTGGATGACATTTTAGATTAAGCCTTATCGTTCCGAGAAATTTCAAGGTAGACCAAATCTTCACAAACCTGTTGTGTTGTTCGTTAGGGTACCCCGCTCGCTTTCGTTAATCACCAACTTTACACGCTTATGGGACACACCTTTCCGCTTTGCGTCCTTCGGCGTAGCATATTCGAATTGCGCAGTTTTATAAACAACAGAGTACGACAGTGGCTCACTTCTAGTATAGAAATTAAAGTATAGGTTATAGGTGTTTATCTTTAACATTTCTCTGAATGCAATCAAATTGGCCAAAGAGAACACTTTTGAGCACTTTTGGTGGGTAGCATAGGGGACTAATGTGCGCTAACTCAGTAGCGGCCGGACCGTCGTAATCAAAGAACTACCCTCCTGTTTTTCTATTATATAATAGTTCTAGTACACCCCTGTTAAATAGTTGTCGATAGTTATCGATACCGCCCTCGGGCCGCATCTTGGAGCCGGCTCACGGCGCACTCGTGGCACTTGAAAAATCCATGCACTTAACGATGAAATAAGCGCGGCTTTCGACCGCATTCACTTTTAGCGGAGTTTTTCTCCTTTTACACCCTCCGCTCCCGGTCCCCGTTCGCGACTCCCGTCCCGCTCCAGCAACGCCGCGATTCACTCGCTCACTCGCTTCCACGTTCGTGACACAAAGCAATATGTGAGTTAACTTCGCTGTAACGGTTCTTGTTTGAGTTGCGATTTAATGCCTCCTTAACTGAGATGGTTTACGGGTTAACCCGACTGAAACGCTGGAAGTGTTCCTAGCTATTTACTCTTTCGATCGGCCAATAAAAACTTCTCAATCCTCTTCTACGCTTCGTCTGACACGGCGACGTCAAAATCGAAGTTTAAAAGCTAGACGATAAATATATATATAGATTCGTTTGAACATATACCTATTTATATATATAGCGGAGTTTGTTTATTTATTCATTTATTTACTTCTATTAATAAATTAGGGGTGTATAAATATATATTTATACAACAAATTACACAAAAGAAGTGATAACGTTTTAAAACCTTCATATTTTTCACATGTTATTGCACATATTACACACGATGTTACGGAACGCTGAAGATACCAGTAGTCCTGCCCGAGTCGAATTTATTTCAATTTATTTTTTATTTTTAAATTATATATTGCTATCATTTTAAATTATAATTTCATCTGCAATGATTTTGTAAGCTGCAAAGCATGAGACGTTGCACCTTAATACGCAAGTGTCAAGGTTGAAATTACATTGCGCGAGAGATGCATGTATCAAAGTTGAAAGAATTCGATGATGACGTGTAGGACTCGGTAGCTCAATTGATAGAGGAACAGCACGGAACGCTGACGATGACGGTTCAAGTCGAAAAATGTTTTTATTTTATTTTAGATTTTCAAACAGGTCACATCATTCACAGCACAAAGTCCAAATCAACATAGACAATACTCAGAAACGAATACTCGTTTCTGAGTATGAGATGTATAATGACGTGAATTGTTAGTTTTTTGAAGCCGTTAAAACGAGGTTAAGTTAAAACAGATATATTAGAAAAGATGACACAAAGTAGGGCATTCTGTGTCATCAGATTACGTAATGGTTTAATAACTACCCACATCAGTGGCAGAGTTGAGCTAATCTAATTAGTTTGCGGTAAAAAGTTTTCGGGTTTATCCGAAAACAATTTGAGGGATAAAATCCTTCAAATGAAGTTAAGCAATATATCTGAGCAATAAAACAAGCATCGCTTCCGTCGACAACTTGTCCAATTTACATGACGGAGGTGAGGATATCGCGGGAGAAAGTTCCGATAACTTTTATCAGATCCCGCCCGATGCCCGACAAGTGTACCTCCGTTCACTCTTTGCGCGTGTTTGTGTCGATGCACTTAACCTGGTAGCCTTAAGCACCTCTGCCTCATTACGCATTTTCTAAGCTCCATAAATGTGTAAGTTGTACAAGAATGTACATAATATGAATTTTGACAATTTTTTAAATTATATTACGTTCTTTGGTGTAAGTGAAAGTAGACGGGAAGTCCTAGTTCCGAGAAATTTGAAATCAATCAGTTCACAAAATTGCTCAAAAACAACACGGGGCCTGTGTGTAAATTAAAATGTGGAATACTGATAGAGGACCAGTTCATCGTGGCAAGTGCATATCTAAAAATTGCGTGCGTTAAAAGTTCGCCCTCTATTTTTAAACGTGCATTTGAAGTATTGACTAACTAAAGGCGTTCAAAATACAGAATAATACTGTAGAAAAATCCTGCTTCCATCTTTCGACGCTTCTCGCCTTAATTAGCTAGAATAAAATTAAAGGATTCCAATTTCTTGACTTCGCTATCGAAGCCAAAAAAGATAACTCTCAATATTAAATTATATCAGAGGTATAATTAACAGACCGGTTCGTAATAATGAAGACGGTTTATTTAAAAACACTAACGCACGAATCGACAACCGTCAGCGATGTGACGCGGTACAGGTTCGTATATCGTTCGAACTTCGGCAAAACTCTCCACAACTTGCGCCGGATCCGAGGGACGAGGATTAGATAACACGAAGAGATTTAAAGTGAATTAGCCGTTCGATCGGAAAATTGGAATGCCACACAGATAATTAGCTGACACTCACAGAAAACGAAGTCTCTCAGAAAAGAGATTCAAATAAGCGCGCCCGAAGGACCCTTATCGTGCCAAAAATAACTGATACCCGATATCAGGGACTCGATCGGCTGGAACCGCCCACAGCAGACAATTGAATTTGATGCCGCTCGCTTGGCCGCAGGATTCGATCTTACAGGTAGCCAAGAACAACGTTATGTTGTGATTTGCCCGGGCAAACGGTTATAATTATTTAATTTATAATACTTAAAGCGTAATGTGGTGTTGAAACAAATGTCAATCGGTTATTAAATTAAAAAAAGACTACCCCCCCCAAAGGCACTTTTCCGCACAAAACCATAAATACGTTACTTTTATCTAAAATATAATTCAAATCCACGGCTAGTGGACTCCGTCATAATCGATTTTAGAGCCATAAAATGTTTATTGCTCTGACCGAACTATGTCTCTGTTGCTGTTCGTTTTGTTCTCGCAATGTTGGGTCGCTAACGGTATGCATTTGTTATAAGATTGTTACACATTAGGAGGACAGAGATTTATTTTGAATTTGGCAAGTCCAATTTTTCATTGGACCTTGTTATGTAATCTTAAAATAATACTTTTCAGACGGAACTTTAACATATTAAAGCCGCGACAGGCTGCATCATAAACTTTATCGATCTTCTAAATCATTTTTATTTTCAATGTAGATGTTTTACGATACATTATAAGTTACACACAAAGAATTTCGTTTCCATAAATCTGAAATATCAGAGCTAGACGTCGCCTTTTCTAGGTCAAAAATTCCGAATGGATTATATGTGGGCGCACGCATACAAAACCTTCTACCGCCTGCACGACTTAGCAACAGATTGGGATCAAGCTCGCCAGATGTGCGAATCGGAGGGAACCACTCTCCTGATTCCGTCGAGCCTCGAAGAAATCGAAAACCTTAAGCTGCTCATGAGCAACATGAAGGCTCACTACACGGGGGTTTTCATAGGCATCCACGACCAATTTGCCGACGGCCACTACGTCACCGTCAAAGGTATTCTCGGAAAACGGTTTGACGTTCGATGCTATCTATATATGTCACTGCACTAAAGACTTTTCGACGCGACTGCAACGGGGCGAGCGGGGCATAAAAGTAGGCTTTGAAAGTGTCATTGTGCACCGGTTTTTCAGGTGAGCCCATAACTGGAACGATTCTGGAGCTATTGTGGGCGGAAGGTCGTCCGGACAATCTGAACGGGTCAGAGCACTGTGTCATCATGACTAGAGAAGGATTGTTTGATGATCGACCGTGCTACGATATTTTTCCCTTCGTCTGTAAGATATTAGGGAACGATACGCGGTATAACGAGCCGTGCGATAGTTTCGACGCGGGTGAGTGTGTCACCTTCTCGAAAGACAAGGGACAAAGCTGACCACAAATTATTAAAGTATTTTAGCTGTCCGTTACGTCCACAGGCTATTCGCCCCACGGTGTCGTCACAAATAAGTGTTACAAGTTCCACGCCGAACCGCTATCATGGCACGATGCGTACTTAGCTTGCAAACTGGAAGAAGGTCGTTTAGCCGTGGTCAACTCGGCAAAAGAAGCGAGCGTCTTCGTCGGCCTTTTGGGCGAACATCTAAACAGCAACACGCCCGATCCGAATATCCTGTATATCGGTTTCAGCGACTTAATGTTTCCGTATCAGTATAGGACTATACTCGGTGAGAAGGGCCGACAACAATACAATTAAAGAGACAGTAATCAAATTACTCCACTTTAAAAAACTAAAATACCTAAACGTCAACTTATATCTTAAAACGAGAGATCTTATAATTAATGTTGGACTACTATAATGATATAGAAATAAGTTTCAATCGCAGGTCAAACTCTAGAAGAGGCCGGCTACGCGTCGTGGAGTCCTTTGAAAGAGACTCAAAAAGCTGCAACCGATAAACGATGCGGAGCCATTTCGCGGGCTGGCTTCCTCGAAGTTACCTATTGTGACCGCCCGGCCATGTTCTTGTGTGAAAAGCCTCTTAATAGGACTACAGTAGACGTCTCCACTACACCGGACACTTAAAAAATAAGTTTTATTTCAAAAGAAGATTATTAAATAATATTTGTTGCGTAAATAACAAGTAAGGTAAAACCTCAGATTTGGTTCTTCTCTAGAGCAACCATCGAACCGAACTCTTTTACGATCGGCATAGCTTTGAGTTTGAATTGGAGTTCCATTTTGTGTATGACTGAACAGATGTTTGCCCGACTTTCTAACCTATCGTCGGCCAATATATTTTCTTAATTATTGATCGAGTACGACATTAATACTTTCAAAACATAAAAAAACGTTGACGGTCTATCTTCACTAAAAATATCGCAGTGGCCTACTGATAGCAACGAAACGAGTAATGTGTACGTCTCGTGTGAATTTTAATGTAGGGGACACGGTTCAGGAACCGGTTAGATATAAAATGTGTACAACAATTAGCAAATGCGTCGAGGGATAATAACGCATTTAGCAGCCGAATAGTAGTGCTCGCCGGCACTGCAATAAACAGCTTACGGGAGGCTTCACGGTTCGAGTTAAATTTTATTTGATTGCAACCCTCCCGTCACGCCGACATCGGGCTGATTGATGTATTGCCGAACGCGGCCCGCCGTCAAAGATTATACAACTATGAAGAGCGAACCCGTCATTTAATTATTTTCATCCCCCGACAATGCTTTCTTTCACGGACGACGATCGTTTTCGCTACTATCAGTGGAAATCACGATCGCACGAATGACAACTGATAAAGCGATGACGCCTTTCATACGACATTAACTACATTAGTGACGCCACATTCCGTTCAGTCGCGTGTGAATCCTAAGATACAGGATCTCATTTCCCGTGACGTATTTCGCATTAGACTTATGAGCTACTAGCTTGTCGGCTTTTCTGCCTTGTCAAGTTCAATATAATTGCAAAAGCAGTAAGAAAGAATTTTGACTAAACTCAATTTTTCCAATATCGTGTTTGCTTAATATCAATGATTCCTTAGCTATTTGCTAAGTGATCAGTACATACGCTCGAAAAACCGTGACACATGAAAGAAATAAATATGCAAGCTTCATTAAAATAAACACACAGTGTATGTCGTGAAAATGACCAGGGCAATTTTAATCTATATTGTACTTCGCTTAAACGAAAAGAACTCGGGCGCATTCGATCTAATTCATAATAAAGGAGCCCCGTATAAGTTTGATCATTCCACGCTGTTAACGAGCATTCCACGAGAATCAATAACATTTCACCGCTCCATGGGTTCTGGGTGACAATAAAAATGCATCTCGATTCTGATCACACTCGTTTCAATATTCAAGTGCGGGCAGCACCTGAGACGCGCGCCTCGCTCCGAAAATGCTTATTATATCGCTTCCCGTAAATGAAAACGTAATTTATGTCTCGAGCACATTTGTAACGACCCAATTAAACTTGTTATTTTATATGTAATGTCGTAAGCGTTTCATTTTACAGTACTTTTTATTTTTGTTGTTATTTTTGAGCAGTATTCGGAGCCTTCGAGTATATACAATAGAAGCTTAAACATATGAGACGGCTAAAACCTAACAAGCCGCGTGAAACGGACGGCAAACGGCAAACGTGCGGCGAGATCGATATAGAAACGTGCACTTACAGTAATGGCTTCTAAACTAAAACCAACTGCTCCGGAGTTCCATTTTTTGGCGAAGCGATTAAACATTCACGCGATCGAGTCCCGACCTCGTGTGTCGTATGACGTATCCTCCGCGATATTCTTATACCGAGACAGAGTCAATATCAATTTAGGCGAGGCTTGAATACCTTTTATTGTGACTTCGTGGTTTAGCTTTAGATAAAGTTTCGCCAAACTTATTGCGACCACGATTCCGAGCCGACGGAATCTGCACAGATAAATCGCTTCCAAGTTGGGCTACTGAATAATAAGAGTGAGTCCAAACTGAATATTATCAATTAACCTTGTACAATTGGCAGGAGCTTCGCGACCGCTCGGCCTCGAGACGAGTGCACTCATCAATCTCCGAGACGGCGTAACGGCGTGACGGCGTGACGGCGGCGATGCATTTGACAGAATTCGGTTTTTAATCTCCTTGTTTATTATACATTCCGCACACGCCCATTCGTTGTAGGGCTCCGCTCGGTTCGCCTTCCGAAAGCGAAGCCAAACTTTCCACGCAAAACTTACTTCTGGATTTTTATTGCTTCCAGAGGACGTGAGACGCAATAATATTAAAATTTCACTTCACGTATGAGTTTATGATTACGCTCTCAGACTTAAAAGTTCAGACGGGAGTCCTAACTCAAAATGCGGTGTGCATAATTACATACTTCCGTTTTCTGACAGCATTGAGTGGACAAATGTTCGGTTGAGGCTGGGAAACTTTAGATCACCCAAGGTGAGGCTCCCGCCCGTGCTATTCTCCCATCGGTTTAAGAATCTTATAAGAATTTCCACAGAGAAAAGTCGTTCATCGTTCGCGGGATCATTCGTCTCTTGCACAATCTGTCTGCTCGGGACGCGCGTCTTTGTACTTTCGCTAAAAATGCAAATGTCGTCGATCTGACACCGCGCCCATAGTCTCTACTACCGAGTCTCGTCGAGCTGAACGTGATAAACTTTAAATCGCTTCGACTTAGACGGTTCAGTGCATCGTCATGTACAACTTTGACAGAGGCTCAAAGCGGGCCTTCGGACCAGCAGGCCGATTCTACTAATTTAATGACGTTTCGATCAAGTTGCAGTCACGCTGCGATTAGGTTCCGATTCAGCGCCGATGGTATTCTCTTAATTTGACAACTGCGCATCCAATAAGGTACTCCAGCGAATTGACAAATACACGCTGGCGTCACGCAAACTTGACGCGAACGTGTTTGACGTTAGACGAGAATACCAAAACAACAAAACGTCACTGCAACTGCGCTGCTGCTTAACTCATATTAATACGAGAATCGGCCCGCTGATCATTAAATTGATACAAACCTTGGGATAAATATAAACAATATAACATTATCTATCAACATTCTCGGCCTCTCGCCAAAGCGGCACGCAGAATCTGCCGAAGCAAATCGCCAGAGAGGGAAACTTAACTTGGACGTCCTTACCGCATTTGGAGGGCCCGACGCGTTCTATAACTTAAATGATGATGCAATTAAAAGCAGAATGTGGCCGTCGTTCATTTGAACGGCGACCTGCAAAGAAAGCTGGTGTTCATTTTGGAAACACATTAACGCATCGCGGCGCACTGTGGGAGTGTCGTAAATCAGAAATGCAAATACTATATTAATTACAAATTCAAACAGAGCGTGGTGTGCCGCGACCGTCTCTATCCAGCTGATGATTTGCAGCTGAGCTCGGGCCGGCGAACGCGCTATCGGAACTTAGTTACACATTTAACATGCATGGATTCTGAGTGAACATTTTTTAAATATATTTGTAGATATATAAGATTCAGATTTATTGAATTTTACGCATCTCAGAATAGCTACAGAAATTGCCCTGGCAGAATCGGAAAAATAGCGTACGAAATGGCGGCGCGGTCGAATCTATAGTAGCGAGTAGTAACTAACTAGAAATACAAAAAGCGTTAAACTCCAATGAAAAGAACTCGAGATTACAAAGTTGGAACCGAACGCGACAGAAAAACAATGCGTTCGTAAAAGCCTGTTTTAATTTCATTTCCATTACTAGAATGCGCGAAGGTACGGTTTGCATGAAAACTGGAATAAAAGGAGTACGTATATCGCCGTGAAAACAATATTGTGCGATTGTAGTTCCCTTAGAATACGAGTCGGCGCCGAGACGCGTGGGAGCCGGGGACCTACAGACGCTAAGTAAAATCGCTCCTTTCACAACATTTCAGTAGAGCTCGAAAAATACAGGCGTCGCTCGCGCGACTAACTAAAGTATTGCGAATGTATAATTACATTGGTATCAGCCCGGCGGCGTTTGTTACGGCTGAGTGCAGGCAAAATGTACGTTTTTATTGTCGACAAGTAAGCGACACCTCTCGACCCGAGCGAATATTCGATTCAATCTCCCCCACCTCGGCTTAAGTGTTTGAGAACTATTTTCGCTATCGCACTTTTGGGACACTCTGAACGGTCAGAGATAGAGCCGGAATAGAAAACGACGACGTTCGCCGAAACTGCTCCGTGAGAAAATGTTGACAAAGTCTGTTAGGGAATTATTTATATCCACTTTCTCGTTTCCTATTCATAGTTTTAACGGAAGTATTTTAGTAAATGTACGTGCATTTATATGTTTGCTTTAAAGAAGTTTCGGACGCTCCGACGTAATCTGCGCGACATAAATCGGGATAACTTCGACGTTGCCCTGTGAATCGGTCGAAAGTGTCGTCACAATTGGCCGTATATTTTTAGGCTTTCGATAGATTGATTGCATTTTCCACAGGCGTCATAGCATAGAAAATATTGCGAATGCATAATTGGATACGCCATGCGTCGCTCGCACGCGCCGCCGGTGGCGCCTGCAGATGACGGCTCGTTGACAAATAATATGGCGGAAGATGAATACTTATACCTATCGGTGGCAATCGCTTTACGATTCATTAGTATCAGGAGTTTCACAGCTTTTCACTGTTGCCTAAGACCGACGAAGGGTCGATACAGATTTCCGACGTTAGGTTTTATGCACTGGCTCCGCGTGCCGTACCCTACTTATTTTAAATAAGGACAGCCATGAAAGTAAGTATGAACATTGAATGAAACGCTTACAGAATGAATTTGAATTATTTCCATGAAACGTACTTTTGTAACGTAACGTAACGATTGTTCAAATCGCGTCTCGTCAAGCTGCAACTAATGAAATCGTAAATCAACGGTTCGCATACGAGTTACGACACAAACCGACGATTTTTAACAATTTTCATCGCAATATGTTTTGCTCTTGAATGTACTCAAAGCCGAATATCACAATGTCAAACGACGTCAAACATGAGTGAGAACGGCTATTCGAGAGAGAAGCGAGAGTATCAGTGTCCTTTACGACTATTTATAGTTAAATGGTTATACTATTTGTAGTAGTACTGGTAACACTTTTGAAGTTAGGAAATGAAAGGAGCTTCTACGAATTTCGATAACATCTCTCTTCTATCTGAACAGCCGTTTAGCGGAAGTCTGCAATTGAAGTGACGAGAGAAGATTATCTAAGAGGTCCTATTAAAACGACGGCGACTAAATTACTTCACAAAACAGCTTTTACGATATAATAGAATACTGCCGTTTAACACGTTTCCCGAATGCAATACGCAGCGAGGTCAGCGCTAAAAGCTAGTAATATTGGATTGAACTCGATTCACATGCGTCCCGGGACTGAAGCGCGGCACTACATCAAAATGATGCACTTCAACTAATTGCATTCGCTATTGATGCTAACTTATTCGCGGCCGATGAATGCCCGATCGAGCCGCATTAGCAAATCATTATTGTAAAAATATCGCGTTATTTAAGGCTCAAACAAGCGTGAGCCTTTCGCTTATTTTAGTCCAAAGGTAGAATGATAAAATTTAAAATATTTTGTCTGTTCATAATAAAAAAATAAGTGTATGTAGTCGACGTAATTACCCAAAAGGCTGAATTTGGCTGAATTCGGACGAAAATTGTTAAAATTTCTTTAACATCGAACGCTGTTGCCAACACCAATATTAGTTTTTACTCGTTTACAGTATACCCACGAGCCAATATGAGGCAGCAAGGGGAATGAACATAATCACAACATATTATAACATTAATAATTGATAATAGACATTTTTCAAAATGGCCCAGAAAGCCTTATAACCTGTATAAGGTTATATATAAAATATATAATAAAAAAGAAATTATATACTTACTTAGTTCGTCGGCGGCTGCTCAGTGCGTTTCAGTTTCACAGAACGAGAGAGGTTGATGTCGAATCTACGAAAAAAATAATATTATCAGAGTCACTTATATAAAATTATTCAGTAGACAACAGTAACAGGCTATAAAAGAAAAAAAAGCAATACAATAAAAGGGTCTAATGTATAATTATTTATTAACGTTAGCGACGCCATTCTCTCTCTAGTTTTGGCAAAGATGCAATTTCATTTGAATATTGTGCAAGTCGCCCGTTATCCCGCGTTATCGTTCTAACTGAGCACTTTAAATACAAAGTGCTCATATAAGTAGTATCTTCCAAATTAGTATGGAAATAGCGTTAATTGATTTTCATATCGTCGGGCGATTTCTATGGAAGAGTTTGCTGACCGTTTTAGCAGTTAAAATTCGTATGTTGAAGGGAGCAATTAATGGGGTCGTGAGAAGAACGCGCGTTTAGAGTAAAACTCTCATTCGCAGTGTAAGTGCGCCTCTTGTCACCGTGTCTACACGATTTATGTTCGCGCATTACACGTCATTCGACACGTTACCGTACCTATGCCAAGGAACTACGAAATACCGCGTAAATGCGATTTATCGAATATAAGCGTCAAGCACAAAACTGAAATTATAACTTTTTCAACATTGTAACAGAAAGAATGACTTAATAAAAACCTTTGTACTATGTACTTTGAAAAACATAACAATGTTGCTGTGTAATAATGACACGGTGTGCTACCGTAGCGGATGTATGCTACGGTTCGCTACGCGCTAGGCGAGTCGACGCCGTGGGCTACGCCGCCAACCGCCGCAAGACGCCGACAAACGAAAAGCGCGTGTGCTACGCGCTTAGTCTACGCAAGTCTGCGTCATGAGATGTATTAAAACATTTCTACATTGATCTTATAACATTAAATATTTTTTAGAACATCCGAACCCTACAAATCTTATTACATCCCAGTGAAAGTGTAGTACCTACGAGCGTACCCTGTCTAATTGTTTCTTGCAATGCCAGTATATTAAGCTGTGAGACGGCGCCAACTTTATGACTTCTTGAATGAATCGTTAAAATGTCGAATCAATTTGTCGCGAATACCAAAATACTCGCACGGAATACCGGGAGGTATAATACACCTAGAGAGTTTCTTCTACAGCAATTTCTTAAAACTATAAAAAGTATTTTGTCAACTAACTCCCAGCCCGAGCGGAGGGAAGTAAAGCCAGAACCGTGACCCATATGAAATTCCACACGGTGAGACTATTCAAAATACACTCACACTTAGCTGTATTTTTAATCCTTTTAGCTAAGCGTTTCCTACTTTCTGGTTGCTAGCCAACATATCCGTCTGTGCAGGTATTTAGGGTATGAAAATGTTTCTTTTATTTTGAAAGAGATAGAAATTAATGAGAACGAGGCGAGCAACTAGTAAAGAAAATTGTCACTAAGTCTCTATTTAGCTCAAAATAAAAACGACCTTTTTGTAATTGTTCATTAACGTTGAACGCAATATGAAACATCATCAACAACTTGACACGCCACAGTGGATGCACATACTACTACACGAGGTGGCAGTTGTGTCTGGCCTGCACGATATAGAATGAATAGCTTTATTTTAATTCTTATAAAACGACACGCTTATTGCAAATTTTATGAATACATTAAACAAGTTCGCGGAACAGTTTAATGCTAAATTAAAATCTCGCGAGCGAATTAAAAGTAGGAAGTTTAAAGCGCACTTTAGGCGCAGTCGCTTCATGTTATTAAACTGCTGATTTATATACGAGGTGTTCGGGTAGAATTATGTATAGCCGCGGAGCCCTTAAAGTTGGTCTTTTTAGTAGCGCTATATGTTTAGTGGTCGGAGTCTGTAAACCTATTGCAGTGCAGTCGCAGCCCGTTCATATTCGTGTAAACTAAACTACGGTAGTCTCTTTACCGTGATAAGAACGAATGAACTCAGCAGGGTGGCGTGCCCTATCTGTCATCTCCCGGGCGTGGGCAAACACACCGTTACCTCGACTCATTTTATTAGGGGTCCGACGTACCGCGCCAACCACTAACGCGATATGCTAATATTAGCGACGTTTTTCTAGCCGATTTCCTTTCAAAATACGTACACACAACATACGTTATAAAATATAATCATAATAAAAGCGTAATTTTTACAAAGTTACAATATAAAAGCAGTACAAAAGCAAAATGTAAGCTACTCGATGTAAGGTGTAAATGCCCAAATCATATAACATTTTGGCTTTGGATATTTGGAAACAATTATAAATTGATGGGAAACGAATGAAAACGAAACGAAAGATTGCCGGACCCGGTGCAGGCCGATCACACAATCCGCTGATAATAATCACACACGCCTATTTTAATGTATTTCTGAGAAGTCTAAACATTCTCTCGCCGATGGATTGGAAAGAATACAAACAACTTTTAATTCGATGAAATCAATAATTTCCAATTTTCAGTAGTTCTTTAAATACATGTTGAAATGAATTAAATAGCGAGAAATTAATACGATATTAAAAATACACATACATACGTACGCGGATGTACAAGTGTATGAAGGCTCTTCTAAAGTTGTGTTGTTTATATGTCTAGTAGAAGCAAGATAATCTAGTCAATCTTTCTGCGAAATCCAATTTTTGACTTATCACACCCAAGGGTGCGTGCTATGTACATATTTTTCTTTGTTCTCCATAGCTTATTATGATATAGGGCTGCCGCGAACCTTTCACAACTGCCATCGACAATTTTCTTATAGCTTTGACATTTGGCATATCTCAAATCATTAATCAGTAGGTATTTACAAAACACGTCTTACTCTGAGAAACTAGAAGATACTTTGGTTCTACATTTAGACTTCTTACTAAGACAATTAAGTGAATATTATATTGTTTGGTAAAACATTATGTTTTCGTTTTATATTCAGTACAAAGAAATAGAAGTATTAAAAGGAATAGTGTGAATCATCGCCTAGATATAATGATAGATACGCTAGATATAATAAACTTGCAGGCATTATTAAACGTAGTACAACCCTATTCCCAAACGATTGTGATCAAGAGTGAGTCTGACTTCGTAGAAATGAGAACGGGCGGTCGGGGACCGCCTAAAGATAAAACTTTCACTTTTTCAGACCTCAACGGTCACATTTGCGGTAACACAAACCTGCTTTGACACTATTTTGTTTTATTGCGTAAAGTGACTCGAGAGACACTCGTAAGACTGCAAAGAAAATGTTATACAAGGCCCGTTTATTACTCAACACAACAACGACCTTTTGCTCTTCTACTGAATGTGAGAACGTCACCGTAAATGTAATAGAAACGTATAAATTCACGTACTAATAATTCCTACACTCGATACGGAAGCGATTCTCCTCTCGAGCTGGGATGTCACAAGGTGATAAGCGGCGGGAGCTTTTCTAGTCGAGCTTCTTACCGCGCGGTAGCAGTTTTATTTACGGTCCGAGGCAATATCTGAGAGAGGCAGCGTCGGGTGTACTAATATCGGTCGTGCGGGGCAGCCGATAGCCGCTCGATAGAATAATATGACAGAAGCGCGACCGCTCCGCCGGCACGTAGGCAATAAGCCGCCGGCAGAACGCCGGCCCGCTCGGAAAATAAGATCGCCTCGAACGCCGAGCGTGCGCTCACATACGGCCGATGTGTACACACGAGCCGTTTACTAAATACGTTTACCACATTTAACTTTTCATCGCCCCTCTCTTCGTTACCTAATAAACACAAAACTTACTCTTCTGTTTAAGCATACACATTCTTTGTATGTTTTTCTCTCCTTTTTGTTGAATAATATTGAGACACGTATAAGACTCCGTGCCGCGGCTCTTTAAATTAGTATTCTAATCACAACCCATTTTCATTCTTAAGATTTACGAGTTAATTTTGCATTGCAGCGGTCCACGTATGGCCATCCGATTACCAGTAACAACGTATTCAAAGAACCGACGTCCCGCAAAGGCGCGCCTTGTTTCATTTTACGATCTTATCGAAATAATCCCATCTCACTCGTTATTTACTGCCGCTTTCCCTTAGGTCAGATCGTATAAATTTCATTGTAAACGACATTGAACCTTACGAGCGTAGACTTTTGGTTCTAAATACTATATAACACGCAATCTTCTACGTTTTGAGAACGAGCGAACCGTAGGACTGTGAAACCAATAGAAGACTCGACCTATGACTTCTACGGTATAATTCGGATTTGCCGATCCAATTTTTAGACATGTAACCTTGTAGTAAAAGCATCTTAAGATGTATTTTTACAGATTGAGAGCGAAATGTAGGTTTTCTTTTATTTAACACCGCAATTCGACGAACGTTTTTAAAATGATCGATCACCCTCTCATATTATCCACAATTATTAATTGAAATGGGGTTTAGGGAGACTTACACTAGACTTAATTATGCGTATATCGCGTACCCTTGTTTGGCGAAATAAACAAAAGAAATGCGCAAGACGAAGGTAAAAAATAGCATCATTACGATTCCGCGAGCGCAACTCTGGTAATGAGCTAAGTTACATACCGATCGGACCCGACTCCGCTCGGTCATTGGTAAGCATGTCGCAAACATTGAAAACAGAAAACTTCTAATCATGTTTGTGCCCCAAAGGACCGTAAACTTATCGGCTTATTCTGCAAGTTTTTTAAACTTGGAATAATAATCTCCAAAACGAAAGTGCTTCCTTACCTTCGCTCAATTCAGGAGCGCGAGCGTTTTGCCTTTCGACAATAAAACAGAAAGCATAATTATGCATATTTGATAGAAATTTCTTTTCAGCTCAAGAAACTGAAAAAGCATTTCTAGCTCTAAGTCGAACGGATGAAGAGTAGCGTCGTGAAAAATTAGTCTCCACTGTTGAAAGCAGTTTATGCATTATAGTACACTAAGAGCCGTTTTCATGTAAGGAAACGAGATACGGTAGCCTTTTCGACCGTTCTTTTGACGCCGTCGACTGTCGAGTTGGTAAATGGGATTTGCAAGTAATTTTGTCGCCTACGCCGACCCGCTGCCCCGCCGCGCTCTCTTGTCTCCGCGTGTCGCTTCCATTACAAATTGTGTTGGAATAAAATATATATCCCTCATTCACTCGAGCGGCTACAACGCATATTTTTAATAAACTGGGAAATATTTGTGGCGTGTGCGCAATTGATCTGATGTCTCCGGTTGACTCCATAATTTTACCTATCGTTAGAAGTATTTGAATTTCATAACTTAACTTTTATTTTTGCGACTAAGATAGAGAAATAAACATCTCAAAGGACGCAGCCGCTCGATATAGATAACTGCGCTCACGGGAAGAAGCGGGCGTGTAATAGGAAATGTTCCGCATATTGACTCCAGCATCGCAGAGATCTCTAAACAATGACACGCCGCTGGCTTCTCGGCCTCTCTTTGCAGTAAATTTAGAATAGGAAATTACTTTCATTCACTAATTTTCAATTGGAACAAATCGATTTCATGAAGTTTGTTTTTCCGAGGACAAAATAACGAGCCCAAAGAGATCGGCGCCGCCGAGTCGAGTGAAACCGCCAGTTACGCTTATGAAAGTGAAAATTGGAACACGGTTTGACGCACCGACAAACGCCTCGAGGCGAAGCAAGTTTCGGCTCTTTGAAAACAGTGTGATATGAGGCTATTGACGGCTCCGTGTACCCTTGTCGAAACGTCGTATCTTCATTTAATTGTGGCAAAAGTTTTGACTTCGGCAGCGTTACATAAACCTGGGGATCACTTCTTCAACGGAAATCGACGCAAACTAATCCGTAAGGATTTACCATTTTAACGTGCATCTATATCTAAAACCTGGACACAATGCACCTAAGAAGCCGACAAATCGACAATTGCTACGTGAAAACGAGTCGCAATTAATAGGCGAGGCGCCCGGACGTTGAATTATACGAATCGTCATATTTGAACAGCTTCGTGGTCCATTATGCAAACGTATTCTGTCGTAGGTACAAGTGAAGCACTTTTGTAAAGGATTTTCTAGAGAAAAGTTTAAATAAGTTTTGGGCGAACTCCTGAGATCCCTTTTACGATTGGAACGAAGGTGAATGTTTATTTAACGGTTTATAGATTGAACGCTAAAGAAAGAGAAAAAGAAATCCTTCACTAACTTATTACTACCTTAATGTCACTACTCAAATGAGATTACACTCGGCCGTCTTTCCTATCTAAAGTTTATACAACTTAGCTCATCGTCATTTTAAGTATCCATGTACGGACCGGATACGGACGGTTCTTTTTTCCCAGTGTCCCTTATGACCAGTTGGAAAATCGCTAAGTACCTAAATATAAAAAAATACTAAGGGGGTTTCTTCATTTAAATAAAACACTTTAACGGTTTAAAACGCGATATATTAGTTAAACTTATTTGAAAATGATTTTTAACTTCGGCCCGACGTTTCGGATGCTTTGCAGCAGCCGTAGTCACTGGAAGACTTCCCGTGACCACGGCTGATTAAAAATCATTTTCAAATAAGTTTAACTAATATATCGCGTTTTAAACCGTTAAAGTGTTTTATTTAAATGTGTACTACTCGCGTAAACAATAGACAGGGTTTCTTCATTTTAGTATACGACTTTACTTAATATATATTTTTATTTATGAAGAATCTAATAATCCCAAAAGCTACAACTATTGAACTACAAAGATGAAAAGCGACAAACAAGACGATACATACTTTCAACAAAACGAACCGACCTCTGGACCAGTGGCCCTCTCCTGAAGTGTGTACACCATTATCGTCGCGTCCCTCTCGGGATTGGGGTAAAGGGCGCCCACGATATACATCTTACTGGTACACACTTGACAATTACATATAAATATATAAGTATCAAAATAAAAACAATGCGCACCCGACACGCACGAAGGACACTAAAAACGTTTGCTAGCGCGGGCTAACCTGAAGCGGCGGTCGCGTCGCGAAAAAGCACAACTACCCGCGAAAATATTATTATTATATGCCGAACAAAATCATATGATAAATGTTCTAAAAGATAATAATAATACACATATACAAGTAGACCGTAGATAAGTCCAAAAAATTATATTTTTATTAACTTTATTAACGAAACAAACTTTTCTAATTTTATTTTTCCTTTAAATTCATTTAAAAATTCTTGCCAAGGTTCGAGCAGTTATCGAAGTCGGCACGTCGGAAACTTTCAGTGCTGTACTAATATTAGCGATGTCATTTCGAGAAGATCTGACATTGCGAATGTAGGGTTTATTTTTATCTTGAGAAATGTAGTTACTGATTGATAAATCAGGTAATTAGAAAAAGAAAATATATTGTAAATAAAAATAAAGATAACTACTAATTTTTTTCCTATTCAAACTGTCTTAAACTTTATATTTGAAAATAAAAGCAAAATATAAAGTCTATAATTTTAATTAATAGGCAAAAATGGTATTAGTAAGAATCGTAAACAAATACTGATTTAAATCAGAACTTCGAAGCGTAGAGCAAGTCTGAGCGGCTGAGGCGTCGGAGAGGCAAGAAGGCTTTAGGACAAGCGACGTGCGACAAACTTTTTATTTCCCCGGGGACGCACCGATCGCAGCGCCGCCCAGGTGTCCCGCAACAGAGCGAACCTATATTATTTGTTTTAACGTAACTTTTGTCTCTGGCGAGATGACTAAATTATATTTACGTCTCGGACGCCACGCGCTTACAGTGGAGTGTGCAATTTTTATTTTTATTCACGCAGCGTAGCGTTTATGAAAGACGATGAGTATATCGCGGATTGCAAAATTATACTGGCGTAAAGACGTCGAGTGTTTTATGGTTATTTCTCTTATTCTCCTTAGCGAATTATGAAGAAATGTTTCAGCATAATTTTCCAATCTGTTACAGCTTCCATTATCTTTAATCATCACCGGAGCGTACGCCCTCTCTCGCATTTTCACTCGTCGCCGAGTAAATAGTGAATCGTCATACGCTAACGCACGCCGTCTTAAGGGCGGAATCGAATTTAGGTTTGAGAACATGTTTTGTCGTGCAAATGTGCCTCGATGCTCGATGAATCTAATTATTGCGTCCACTCGAAGTGGCGCGTTCCTATGAAAATTGTGCGCCGTTCGAACGCGCCCTTAAAAGTCGAGAATTTGGACGAAAACCGTCCCGGCATGACTGGCACACGGATCGCATTCATCCAAGCGTTGAATCGGCATCTCTGCCCCGTTTATTGATTCCGGGGATCGAATCGAGTGACACCTGAAGATTACGTCTATGGCCGATTACGACTCCGTACGACGAGTGCATTAACTTACTCTCATTGAAGACTCGGTCGCGAGGCCATATGCTCAGTATCGAAGCTTAAGAACGAAGGCAGGGTGCGACCGAATGGCCGAACGGCGATGTGAATTCTGGGACTCGAGTGAACGAGCAACGCGAGAAGAGTGCGTTCATTATGTCGAGTCACGGGGCTCATTCGGGTATTAGAGATAAAATTAAAATTTACGCTTTGCCCAAAGCAATTTGTAACCGCTCGCTTCACTTCACGCGGAAAATGAGCTTCGGTTTATCCGATGTTTTGCATTCACTTTCATAGATATCTTCTCGTTTCTGAAACGAGACAAGTTCCGAGAATAAGGACGAGGTTTTTGATATTGTTTAGTTTCCAAGTTTTAGTGCCCGAAAATGGTAGCATTCAATTCGGTTCGACTTGGAAGCGTCCAATGCTAAACGATTTATCGTACGGAACCATTAAACACGCTCAAAAGAAAGGAGCAAGAATGAGAAATGGCAAGATAATTTGTCAATGAGGATTCATCGTTATTCGGTTTAGTGCAGACCGCTGGTGAGGCTGACAAATGCCCCTTCAGAGAGCTCCGTCAGTCAAACCGCGGTTGCCTGCCCCCGAGATGTATTGCGAGCCCAGGGAGAGCCCTTCCCGCCGCCGACCGAACTATTCCTCATTCATATTTCGCGAACGCGACGCGCCATCGCAGTGGGCGTAAGGCGGCAATTACAGTGGTCATCTCATTAGGGACGGAATGGACACGAGATAATTTTATCTCGCGATCGAGTTCATCTCGCGTGTGAGGAAATTGCCTTCGGCGTAATTTCGCAGAAGGGCGACCGCTTACGCGACATTATACGTTATCCGCCATTCAAAACGTTACAGCGGAGCGATGGCCTCTTCGGCTCCGCTTTAATTATTTTGTTCCGACCTAAAACTATTCGCTCGGTTTGACGTGGGTTACATTTAATTCCGGAATACTAACGGTTTTGGTAGCGCTTTCGCCTCGGGTGACCGCAGCGAGCAACAGTCGAACGAGAACAAACAAAGTAATTAAACACATCAAACGGAGTGAAATTGAAGCCGCGCCAAAGTGTGAATATGAGTCAGCAGAAACGTGTATCGTAGTATCGTTTTTGACAGTTCAGCGCGACACCGTCCCGTCTTCCGATCACACCGCTGTCTCAAACGAGAGGATGAGGACCATAGGACTTCTCCGCGATTTCTCTAACGCCGTTTTATATTGTGTCACTGAGAGAATAAAAATACAAACTAGAAAAAACATTAAACACAAATTATTGTAAGTTTTCTAATACGTCCTTACATATTATCTAAAGTCTCGCATCATACATGTATAGTAAATAACTTCCCGGGTAGTAAAATGCAGGGACACGAAGGCCCGGACTCCGGATAGAGTCCTAAGTGCTTCCTTACTCGTCTCCGTTACTATGTTGCACTGAACTAATTTTGAATCGCCAGCACAGAGATAGAAAACTAGCTAACCTGCAGACGTCGTTGTGCCGTATGAAATATAATATTTCTAGACTGTGTTACTGCGACTCGTTCTAGCCGAGGTAACAATGATATTTTATTTTAATTGCAAGTCAAGTTAAGGCATCAGATGTTGAAAATCAGTCTTGAAAACTGTAAGATCTCTTTTGATAAGGAATTAAACAGAAGTAGAAGTAGGTATAGTTAGAAACTGTACTAGTTAAGCATTGTGTCGCGAGTTTTTTTTATTATTTCCTTAGCTCAGTAAATATAGTCACTAAGGGTGAACGTGAGCTATCTATTGTTGAAATTTTCAGATCGACACAGTACATATGTAAATAAATATACGCACAAAATACACATCTTCTTCCCTATAATATTAGTACAGTGAGCCTAATATTATAGGGAAGATACTGACTGATATTAACTTTAGCAAGCGGCTCTCCTCTACTAATTCCAAAAGGAGGGACTTAAATATACCATAGACTATAAAAACTGATCGAGACGCCAATAGTGTTTCCGTAGCGATACATCCCACCGAGTAATTACAACTAACGAGCAGAACGGGTCGCGGAAGATATATTTTATCGGATTATGTACGTTATCAGCGCTAGCCCGTTACAACGGAGGTACGCTAACTATCGATGTCCATTAACGATGATGAGCTCGAATATTCTTCAAAACAAGATCCTACGAAAGTTCCTAATAACGTTGGAGCCTTTACAAATGAGTATACTATTTGGAGTCACCGGCTAGGGCGAGGATTACCTATACTTTGATGTGGCTTCATAGTGACAACATTGAATGAAAATTTCAACGGGACCCATAAGAGGAGGGTGGCTCGAACCGCTGACGCGGCCGGTCCCTGACTAATGTCTCGCATTAATAACCTCGCTAATTAATCGTTTGCATGTCCGCTGAAAACCTTGCCCGAAAATGTTTAACTCTAAAATGCACAAAACACATTACAGTTGCACTTTTATACTGTGACGGGAAGGTTTCGGTCGGCACTATAAACGACATTTCCCCTGTACAAGTTGCAAGGTGAGCTAAAACCAAGTAGTCCGGTTTGTAAAACACGGCGAAGGTAATTCTGTCCACTCGATGAGGACGCTCGCCCCCGGAAGGGTCCTCCGGCGGGGTAGATCGTAAAATATACGACACTTCAATATATACGGCCGGAGGCAGACCGTTTATACCCACTCAGAAAAAATGTTGGCTTAATTCAGCACGTCGTTAAGTACCCCTCTCATAAATACAAGCGAACGATTCATGCTCTTTTATGGCAAAACACTTGATAGACGATTTCGAAGGGATAATTAGCTACGTACGTGGTTCGCTCCTATATGCTGTATGAAAAATGTAGGAGACGTCTACCTTTTGTAGGTGCTCGGTTTTATTTAGTTTGTTTCCTAATATGTCGTGTCTCTTTGTCCGCTAAGACGCCTATATAAGATATACGACCTCTACTACCGCACTAGAAATATATTTATAAGAAAAAAAAAACAGTATTTTGGACCACAAATGTGCGATTTCACTATCGCCTCCCGGTTTCAGCGTTCGAATCCGTGTTAAAAGCCCGCGCACAAAAGAAACACACATCCGGCGAGAGTATTGTCGCCGTGGCCGTCTGCGTGAGTGGCATGCGAGTGCGAACCTCTTTGCGGCCGCCAATAATGTTTTCACCATATTATAAACGCGAAACAGTCGGAGGCTCGAGGGGCGCCTGACGCGCGTAGCTTAAGCAAATACGTAACAAAAATATTCTCAATGAAATAAGCGTTTCCCATTTACAGGACCCGCTCTCGATACCCGACCGTACGAGTGCGATGAATTCAATTTAGCGAAATTTATAAACGCTATCCCGAGTCCTCATCGGTGTTTTAACAGAGCTCGCGACTCGCGGAGGTATTCGAAATTGTTTACAGAATTCAATCCTAAAGCTACGAGTCAGATTAAATCTAATTTCAACTCGAAGGTAAGTCTGAAATAAGTCTTCATAAAAGCGGAACCCTTTGATTTAACCCGCCCCAAAGTTAGGCTCACTGATTGCCCGAAAGTTAGCCTCGGCCGTTGTGCCATACCTTTTTAAAGAAAAAAATAAACTAAAATGGAAAGTACGCAAAGGCTTCGACGACTTCTGGCAGGAAACTTCGAATTCATGTTCACCGGAATTACCTCGGCAATATTCGACTTTTACTTAGCTTCCAAAGTTTAGCGGAATTGTTTTCGGCGCAAGTTATTTTTTTGACCTCACATCGCTCGGAGAGCCGTTTTACTCTTACGCAAGTAATGCGACGGTATGCATTTAGCGCGAGAGCGGTGTCGTTCGGATTCATAATATGACTGATACTCGAATGCCAACCGGTTCAATCATAAGCTGCCAACTCGCCGTATTGGTCGGGGCTCGGAAACGGAAAAGATCCATTCGCCTGCTGGCGCGACATCCCGCGGCGCATCGTCTTTCGTTCGTCCTCTACTTTGTGCTGAGCGAGATATGGGACGGAAACTTGCGAGCGCGGCATATTTTATACATTAAACAGAGAGTCAATAAATAACTAATAAAACGGTAGAGGTACATTTTTACGTCACTTCAATTAATTTACGTAGTTAGCAAAATATAATATGTACAAATTTGCAATATATTAAAATCCCCCGATCACTGGCTGCTCCCTTAGAAGCGGCCTGTGCGCATCTGCATTTCTTCTAGTGGTGGACGAGACGAAAAGGACAAGAGTGGATGATGGAGTATATAATTTTTATAGATGAGCCGACCACTCGCTTTACTGCGAGCCATGATTCGGCTTGACCGGTACCAACGGGTTACAGCCGACGCAGATCTAGAAATTGCGAGTGGAAAATTAAGTAACTGAGAACAAGGCAAAACGTGTCTCGACCAGTTTCGACTTACGTTTTCTATCGACGTGTCGCAATATTGGGTAAGGTAACTAGAAGAGTTTGTAATTGACATTATAGTTAAGGAACTCGACTTTATACGAGAAAACAGAAAACATTTTAATACAATAGAACAAGAACGGAGTCTAAAATCTTTTTGAACCCGAGTGTTTCCTTTCATTTCGTCTGTGATGCATCGCAAACTAAGATCGCGAAAGCGTCTGAAGGCTTTTGTCGTTCGGTACCGAGCCCTATGTATCGCTACCTGAGGCGCCATTATTTCACAATCGACTCGCAGAGCAGCCCCGTCGGAGTTCAATGCGCGTAGGAGCCGCTGTGAAATGGCCCATTGTCGACGCACTCGCACGTAGCGCGACATTAAACTGAAAGCGATTCCGAAAACCTCGATGTTCGAGTAGGTTTCGACTTCCACGACCTCAGAGCTAATGGATACCTACAATACCACTTGAAACATAGTACCGGCGTGCTTAAGTTTGAATAGAACGCTTTTTATCCTACAATTACTTATGTTTTACATCGTCGTGATCTAGCTGATGCATTGTTTCTATCAAAATTATATAATAGTCAACCGCTGAAATCTTTCTGTCCCCCGTGAATGAAGTCGCATTCACGATGTAATCACTTTCGCTCTTCCACACCGTGGAACCAATTCGGTCAACACTTCCCTTTGTATCGTATGTGCAAACTATTTAACAATCACTCTTCAGACCTGGATATTTTTATCACAGTACTTCCGGCCTCCGACAATTACTAGATTTTCTTGGGAGCACTAATATAATTCGTTTTGTTGTTTGGTTACATTTATATGAGATTTAATTATTAGTAAGTTGTACGATTAAACCTTATTTGCTTGTCGTGTCTACATATTTTTAAGATTTTTTATTTGTATAAAGCCACACCATATCTATATATTAAAGCTTAGTTTTGTAGCTTTTAAAGAAATTTTTAAAAAGTGTCTTTTTCAGCTAAAGTATTTATTTTAGAAGTTTATATGTCTACATTTCGCCTACAAATCGTTATTTTATTGTCTTAGTAGATAATAACTTTTCATTAACCGTGCGGGTAGTTTCAAAATTAATTCCATATAAACTATCAACTTTGCGCCGTAGATAACGAGTCGATCACCGTGAACAAGGTTTGTTAAAAATGACAATGTCGGTTAAGCAAACAATTATCCAGCCAACTAACCACTAATACTAACTAAAGGCATTACTAACCATTAAAATGTGTTTTCATTTTCTCCTGTCACAGCCAGCCTTCCAATAGACGGAGCGATCGGTCCGACTTCGCCTACTGCCGAGGCCCATGCTGACGCCGACGTCTGCACTAGAGTCCCTTAGAAGACAATTTATGGATAACACGTCGTAAATCTTTAGACGAAATTCGATGGGTTCATATATTACGATATCAAGCGGAAAATTTGTCTACACTTAGAGCTCAAGCGGGTATAGAATTACGAGTACATATATTGCCAATGAGTTTTATAGCTAGCTCGATATTTAACTACAATTGTGGTTTAATGAAAGCGTAAAGTCTCACTCACTCGCGGGTAAAGCGAGATAATTATATTTCCATACAACGTACTTTTTGCAGAATCGTAAACATACAACGTATCAATCTATGAGCATTAAAATTATCGTTGATCAGTAAAATTAAAATCGTTGATAATATAATCTTCCACAAATCAGCGAAAGGATGTATGTAACCGTAAAATACGACGGCGAGAGCCGTCGGGCCCGGGTAATTTATACGATGCTTTTGAAGCTGTGCCCTCCTAACGGCTGTTTTAAGTGCTGGCCGTGGTCCGGCTGCGAAGGCAGATAACTCACTCTGGTCGCAGCCAGAAAACGACGTATCGTTACAGATAAGCGATGACGACGGTAAAACTAATAATAATAGCAAGGAAAGTAAGCACATTAATCGACATACAATAGTGCACAGTTCGATAAAGATATATTAAAAGAGTAATCCTTACCACTGTGCAATCGGATTTTCATTGGAGGTCGTAAGAACCTGGAGTCTCAACCATTATTCAGCCCCATTTCGTCGCGATCTGCAATACTTAGGAACTTGAGATTCGGGACTCGACAACTATTAACAACATCGTAGACAATATTTGTAGTAATGTTTACGTGCATGCGACGCGTGTGTGCGCAGTTCAACTCGTGTCCGACAAACTCGTTAAAAGTTTGGGAAACAACGGAAGCAATGTTACTCGGAGACACTTGTGACTCCCGACGTTAAGTAGAAAAGTATAACACGACAATAATATGGAACATCTTGTCGCCAGACAAAACTAACTTTTGAAATTTAAGCCGGGCGCGAACAAAACACTTTATGGCTAGTCTTAAAGTATGCAGTTCCTATTTGTTACGTTCATTCCGCCGCGCGATCACCTTAACTATGAGAATAGCAATAAATATGAAGACCAATGAAAAAGAATTGACGTTGACGTTGTCACTCAATTAACACCGAGGCGTAAGCTGTAGTTCGTAGTCAGCTTCGAATCTGTTAACTGTTAAGGCCTCAGGAACACTTTGCAGTTTTAATGCTACCGAGTTAAATCTGAGAACGACACTTACAACTTCGACACAAGAAATAAAACAAACAGTGGGAATGAAAAACCGTTTAATGTTTTAAGTTATTTATTTTAACACAATAGTTTATCTACTCTGCATAAAATGGTTTACTCGTCCAGGTATACCTTATTCCTACCGACACTAAAAGCGATTGTCGAATAACTCAGTTTCGGTATAAAATGTTAAAGATGTGGAGGTTTCCTTATGCCACCAAATTGCCGTGTTAACAATAGCGCAAACCAATTTTTTAAGAAATCAGTGTAACATAATGTATAAAATTGTCACCCCAATTTCATGCAAATGTCTAATATAAACAAAGAAAAAAAACGTCTAAATTAAAAGATAAGTGGAAAGTGATACGCACGCCAGTAGATAGCGAAATTACTAAATTATATTGCTGTAATTCTAAGGAAAAAAATTGTTGGTTAGGCATAAGCGCCTAGAGAAAACGAAAAGAGCCTTACGAGTCGCATCGCTTTGTGTATTCGTAATGTCAAATCTGCTAATAAATAATTTTCCAGTCATCAATACCAAATTCACTTCACCTTATCAAAAAGCCAGCTATAACTGTCTAAAAATGAAAAACAACCCTTAACAAGCATTACCTAAAAATAGTTCAAAACTCATACAATAGTCACCTACAAATTCAATATCTCATAGTAATAAAATAAACTTAAGATGAGGTCCGAGCGAGTACAAACATAGCGTCTCCTTTCAGATGCGGAAGCGTCGACACTTTGGCCAGTGTCACGTCAGAGTATTTTTTATGTACCGCTTTGTATTTAGACTTGTCTACGTTTATCACTAAGGTCGCTATTTTCCGAAGTATGGGTTCAATGTGAGCTAGTGCGTACCCCGAGTAATATGCGAGCGTACGTGTCCACACGTCGTGGAGCGGCGTGCCGGAGAGGACGTGTAGCGAGAGACACACGGCTGTGGCGGCCAACTCGGACGGCTTATAGTGAGCCATGGAGTACTCCACCAAGCATAGGTCGACAAAGTATTTTGCTAAGTGATGATTCTTTGCTGCACCATGAGCCACTTTGACGAACCTGGAAAAGGAGATTTATTTGATGAGACGACGTTTTGAAACTCAATATTTAGTCACAGATATTTGCTTTATAAAAATAGTGTATTGAATGTTCATCCAAATTGTTCCATTGAAAGATTGCAGAAAAAATGGTATATTGAACTAAAGGTATTACCGTCTGATGAAGCTGAGTGGTATGGGCCTTGCCAGACTGAAATCTAGCTTCCTCATTATTTCCTTCTCGCATGTCAATATTTCATTCTTGGTGTATGCATGGTCTGTGACATAAACGAGGTCAGTGACGTCGGGGGGGTATATTTCTTCATATTTGGAGGCGATAAATATCGCAGTTACACCAATGAGCTGCAATCTGTTCTTTGGTACATCAGGTACGACCTGAAAGACAGATAATTATTTAGTGCTGCAAACAATGAAACCGCTAAGGATTCCATTCTTCAAAGTTAATGTTTGATAAAACACGTTAAATAAAGGAGAACACAATCAGGAAGATGAAGTCTACCTTCAGTGACCTGATATGCTTGCGTGACGACTATGTGAGTCACCATGGATTTTGCGATTTTGCTAGACTGTGTCTGCATGTTTACAATAGAAAAACAAAATAATACATGTAATACCTGCAAATACCGGTCTATAATTCCAACAGCCAATTGAAAAGTCTCTAGGAGCAAAGAAAACTGGCGCTGAAGTTCTACCAGCCAATCTATCAGAGTAGCCCTCATGTGACCGTTTATGTCATTTTGATTTTTTAAATGGTTTTCTACAATTGGATACCTCTTCTCGAGGGTGGTCAGATATTTGTAGATGTCCTTAATATAGACAGACATCAGCATTGGGTTAGGGTCACCTGCATCAATATCTTCTATGTCTGGTGGTAATATAGGTAGCGTCAAAGGCTCAACAAAAGTTTCTGTTTCTGCTAATTTCAGTTTTCCTAGGGATTCTGTAGGATCTTTAATAATACGATTCTTTCCTTCTTTACTAATCTCTTTAATGGGATTGAGTTTAAGATTTTTCTGGTCTCTTGACCTCTTCACTTGTGTTAGAACCTTAATTGATTCAATTTCAATGTCTTTTTTGAGAGCTTCTTTAACAGCATTCTAAAATATATCATTAAAAATTCATTATATCTTTAAAATATTAAAAAGAGCTGCACACCTGCATTTTACACATAAATAATGATAGTAAATTTAGACAAGATAACATACTCTAGTAAGCATTGCAGCACGTGTAGCCAACCCTCCAGTACTCTCTTCTCGTCGTAGAGGTGGCCTTGATGATGGTTGCATAGATTTGGTCGCAAGACCAGTGTCAACCTTTGACTGGACATGGCTGTAGGTTCTGTGAATTAAAGGACACATTTCACATTACAAAGACATGGCATTACATTTCATTACAAATTAATTATTATTTATAAATATTTATAAAGCAAAATGACTCTAATTAAGTTAATATTGGTTTAAAAATGTAATATGAAAGGAAAGTTTAGCATTACAGCACGGCTTCAAACAAGTTACATTTGTTGTAGGTAGTGCAATTAAAAAAATAAAAATTTGAAAAGTACCTTCGTATGACAGCCTTTAGCGGTTTTTTCTCACACTCGGCATCAGAAATTGTGGCTTTTTTGGATATATCACGTTGGAACTGCACATTTGTATGTACTTCACCCAAAACCCCGCGAGTCATCAAACCCTTTCCTTTAGGCAGGACCACGTTCGACTTACCTTTGTTTCCATACACGTTTTCGTCTTGGTGGTTAATCTAGGACAAAAAATACACGATTCCATTTGCAATGATAAAAATGTATAAATTAAACGAAAATATACTGCTTTGAAATTCTTACCGTACGAGTCCTGCTTTGGATTTCCATTGTTGCGGAGAATTAACAAGCACGGGGAAGTTTAATAACCTAGCCAAATCAAAGCTGCTTCAATACAACATTAATGATAGACGTGCGATGAACACTAGATATTTTACCGCTCTCAATTCACTAGATTGAAGAGACGTTACTAAAATGTCTTTAGGAACAGCTTGAAAATAACGGAAATAATAAAGACAAAATTGACATAGACAAGTTAGAGCACAAATGGGTTTGTGCCAATATGATTGGCTCTGAAAGAAATCAAATCTAATCCTCTTAACTTCTTTATAGAAATTTCTATAAAAATAATAATAATTTCGTTGTGCAAAGCTTGTTATTAAATTTTCAAGTAATTACATATTTTAATAAATATAATAAACCTCTTTGTATAAAATTGTTTTGATTAAAAGAAAGTAAGCCATAACCAAGATCATTAGGATAAAAAATATTACCTGTATTAAATATTATTTTTATCTCCATAGATTTAATAAAGGATATATAAGCAAATGTAATAAAGGTGGTAAAAAAATACTTAGTTCTTTGTAATTATTTAAGGTTGACATTAGTATAGTCTTATTTTATACACCTGTGACGTGGAAAAAAACATATTTAAAACAAAAGCATAGCTTTTGCTACTGGCGAAACAATAAAAAACATAGACTTATAAATTCGAGAAGAAATCAAACCATTAAAATGTAACAATTACATATCATAATACAGCTCCTTGATTCCATATCATAATCTGTGATTCAACAAATGTTTGACATATTATAATATACACATTCTCAACAGTCTGCTTCTTTAATCTGTGCTGTGTTGAGTTGAGTCTGCGGTATATCCCTTCATGTTATTATATTAATTGTTCCCTAGTCAAGACTTACGATACCTACAGTTTCTAGTTGAAATTATTGATTAAAGTTACCCGTTGTTTGTAGGGACTAGTGCACAATTCTTGAGATAAAAATAATTTTAGGATTGTGACCCTGAATTTTCTGAAATGTGTGTAAATTTACTCCTCTCTTTAACATGCGTAACCTTAAAAGAGTGTTATTCATGAAGTTAATTATTTGCAGCTTTCTTTAAAATGGTGCAAAAAGGGCCACGTCCTCTTGTTCTCTGCGGCCCATCTGGTTCGGGAAAGAGTACTTTGTTAAAGCGTTTACTAAAAGAATTTCCAGACAAGTTTGGTTTTAGTGTGTCGCATACGACAAGATGTCCTAGACCCGGCGAAAAGGATGGTGTACACTATCACTTTACTACGAAAGATCAAATGTCGGCAGCCATAACAAAGGGTGAATTCATAGAAACGGCGATATTCAGTGAAAACATGTATGGAACCAGGTCTGGTTTGCATACTTCTCATACCATGTGCAAAACTTGTTGTCTTGTTTATTGGCAAATGTCCAGTTACTGACAATATTCCAAAAGTCATTCCTTATAACTTTATGAATATTCAATTACTCATGTTGAATTGGGCAACCTTCTCAGGGCATTGCATCTCAGTTGGGAATTTATTTATTATTCTATACACTTTAATATAACATTTTAAGTAGAAGGTATACTGTCTATAGTTTACGCGAGTAGTACACATTTAAATATAACACCGGCCCGAAGTTTCGGATGCTTTGCATAGTGTGCAAAGTTAAAAATCATTTTCAAATAAGTTTAACTAATATATTCCGTTTGAAACCGTTAGTGTTTTATTTAGAAGGTACACTTTTTAACATTCTTGCCTGTGTTTCAAAACCACTTATGTTTTTCAGTAAGAAAGCAGTTGAAGATGTCCGGCGAACTGGGAGAATATGTGTTCTCGATATTGAAATTGAGGGTGTGAAGCAGATTAAGAGGACAGATTTGGACCCTGTGTTAGTGTTCGTAATGCCGCCATCCATTGGGGAACTTGAAAGGCGTCTTCGCAATCGCAATACAGAACAAGAAGAAGCATTGCAGAAAAGATTAGAGCAGGCTCTCCACGAGATTGAATATGGTAGTTTTGTGTTCTATGTACTTGTATTAAACTAGTGCCATTTTAAAGAAAAAGGAAATGGCACTTGTATATGTATTGTAATCTCTTTGTGTTGTTTTTTGTTATGTACCCATCATAATGATATTTAATGAAGCAGTTGAAAAATATTCAGATAATAATGTTTACTGGCTTGTAATATCTCAGCTATGGATTAACAGTCTATATGTCTAAATGAATTTATTATTAGCATAAGGTATTAATGTTTCAGGTAAACAGCCCGGAAACTTCCACATTGTTATTTTAAATGACAATCTAGATAAAGCATATACTGAACTACGTGACTTTCTTGCCAAAAATTTGGAGAACACTGTTGAAGGTATTTGTTGGATTTAGTTTAGTTGATCTTGATTTCTGTTTAGTGTGATCAGTATTTTAGGTTTTTTGTTTTAAAAGTACTTTTCAAAGCGACTTGCAAAAACAAAACAAGTAGTTAGTCATTGTTTCAATAAATCCACAAAAAATATTAATTGATGTGTTATTAAAATGCTGTAATACAATAGATCTGTTGATAATCCCTTTTTGTCATGTAATTTAATAAAATGTTCTGTTTTGCAATAACTATCTGAGCCCTGTGCCCTCTCTGCTCATGTATAATGCGTCATAAACTGCTCTTTTACTAACATTCCCGTACAACTCCATTACAGAAACAAATGCTCCACTGGACAAGTAAGCAGTGATTGGATTTGCATCAAAATCAGAGTGTTAATGCATTAGAGCCCCTATCCACTAACTGCCTGAAACGCCCTATTACATAACATACAGTAAAAAATAACAACATTTTATTTATAACACATTAGGGATATTAGTAGGGATGATAGCAAGATTATTGTTTTTATTAAAACATAGATAAATAAAAGATGACATCTATTTACAGGGTGAACAATAAATTATAGCTAACACCCTTTCGAAGGTTTTATTAATTTTTTGCTGTGTTCATAGTATGAGCCATAATCTCATGTTTGCATAAATATAAATAGATATTATCTGTGATCCTGCCCCAAGCTTTTACCCAAGAGTGTTCTATCTCATAGAAATTGTATACCTCAGAATAATACTATGTGTATGTACTACATAACAAATGTACGAAATCATGTTCCATTAAATAATAATCTTTGTTTTATGTGAAACATAAAACACAATGTTTAATATATAAAATTCTATATGGTATTTTAGCTATAACAAAGCATGTTTATGGATCACAAAGTGATATTCAAGAACAGTTAGAAATATAATATGTTAACTGTAGAAACCACTGACAGAATTGGATATATTTTAATACAGTGGAGCTGTAATGTTGTCATTAACAAATTGTAGGGTATAAATTTAAAACAAGTACTTTTTGTACTATGTCACCAACTTCCGCCACCAGCTCTATGCTTAAAAGAATATCAATAGCACGAATAGAAAAAGTATTATTTCTGCTAGAATCGTTCTATAACGTAAATGTAACAGGCCTAAAAAACTACAATTACAATTACCATGTTACCAATGAAGCTTTTAATTATTGCTTATCAATTAATAATATTTAGTACACAAAAAATTTAAGAGTGCTGGACGCGGTAAATAAATAATATTTAATAAATAAATGTAAGTCAAGGAGTAGTCAACTAAATGTAATCCCGCAATGAATATTTCGATGTTAGGAATAAAATGATTACGTTAAATATTAAAAATCTATTTAGATTAAAAACATATGTGGATGTGAAGTATTTATGATGTCGTGCTTATTGTATTGGTGTTAGGGTTGCAATGTTAAATTTTTTCCTTCAACCATTACAAAAGGTACACTTGCTATGCAAGTATCGTTTTGCATACGTAATTTAAAGAATCTTGTGCCAAAATGTGTTGTAGTCTATGCCTTTATTGAGTAGTGCAATATCTATTTATGTTTGAGTTATTTCTATAAAGGTCTCTCGAGTGATGATGATACTGATATATACCTATTTCTATAGAATATAAATACATGTTATTAAGTAGTAGTAGTAACCTTATATTTTAAGTATGGCCGGACGTTTTAAAGCCATCTTTTATTTAAGACAGTTCATACACATTTTCTTAATTATATTAGCCCTATATTAATAACAATGCTACTATGTCTAAGCCAGATTTTTATCATTCTAGTTTTATGGAGTCTATAGAGAGCAACATTTCAAGTTACATTTAAGAGCCTACTTCACCTATGTAAGTATGTAACCAAGGACTTGTCATATGTTGCAGTTACAAAATATTCCGTTACCTTTTTGTTATGTCTTTAATAAATGATTTTAACACAATATAGTTTTCTTACATAGCCAATTCCAAACATTATTTTACATACACAACCCACTAATTAAAATTCTCACAATAGTAGTAATAGGTCATAATTTTGTAATCTTCAATAAGTCTAAGAAAATACAACCATGATATTGAATAAGACAACCAATTATTCAAGGAATCAAACTGTATTGGGTTCTGATACAAAGAGTTGGTTTAATTTGCCAAGCTTTAAGTTGTATGAATATTTATTACAGGACAATGCTACCCTCCTTATCCCAATTATCACGATGGGAATTTGGTGGTGTATTTTCATAGTCACCATTGATTGCAGCATTCTTCAAAGAGACACTGCTGCTAATAGGAATACATTTTGTCTGTTTGGTCTGGATCAGCCTAGGAATATGTGACACACGTTTTGACTTTTGTGTTACTGTTTTATGTTTTTTTGAATCAAACAATGTATTTGTTGACTTGGATCGTCCATGATTTTCAGTTTTGTTTTTCACGCAGGACAATGGTGTCCTAGAACCACTATTACTTGCAGATTTTGACTTTTTCGGTGTAACATTTAAGGAATTGGAATCATCTTCATAAATAAGAATTCCATCAGAACTTTTATTGTCACCGATTGTCGTCTTCATGCCTGAATTATCATTTTGTAAATGTTTAATAGGGATGTACTCAGGGACTTGTTCTGCTTTGTCTTCACTGGAAAGCTCATCTTTCTTTTGTACAACAATAGGTGTCCTATCAATACCAACTGAAGGTGAGCGGGGATCACAATCAAGTATTTTAAAAACAGGTGCATGTTTTAATACTGGGTTTAACGCACTTAATTGTAGTTCTTTCACTTTATCATTTTCAATAAAGTCAAAATTTGTCTCTAGCAGCACAGTCGGTGTTAAAGAGTTGCTGGATATATTTTTCTCAATAGCTTCCTTTGAAGCAGTAGATGAACCCAGCGGCTCTTCTTCTTTCAAGCTTTCACTGAGGCTCATGTCATTAAAGTCATAGCAAAGATTTTTTGGTATTATTTCAGGGGATGTGTAAGAATCTTTATCCTTAATGTTCTGGAATGTGTCATTTGGAAGATTTGGGCTGCTACAGCTATCTAGCAATATGTTTTGTACCCCTTTACACTTTTCTTCTCTTGAGGAAATTATAATAGGTGTTCGTTCAAATTCTTGGGTAGGGGATCGAGGATCAAACGATTGCAGATGGTTCTTGATAACAGCGGATAATATTGGATTAATGTGAACAAGTTTGTCTTCACCTTTATTGTTTTCTAAAGCTTTTCTTAAATCCACGTTCTTCGTTATATTATGTTTTGATCCTGGCTTGTTCTGCAAAAAAATATTGTATTTTATAAATAGAAGAATAAGGATACAGAAGACCAGTGTTGTTAACTTTTAGTACAAGTTTGTATGTAATACTGGTTACCAATAGGCTGTCCTGTGTGTATTGTTAATTTTGGGTGTCTGTATTATTTTGATGTGTATGCTTAAATATTTTATTTTTTCCAGTATATATAATGATAATTTAAAAAGCATAAAATAACCGCATCACGGGTATACAACAATCACATGTATAGAAAATCTGCGGAAGGACACAAAAATACCTGTAGTGGAGTTCGAGTTATTTCTGGAGTTGGCGAGCGAGGATCAGGATGGCCGCTCACGTCCTTGTTTAAAACTTCACTCTTTTCGTTGGTTGCTGCATCAGTTTTACTAATATTACTACCCATTTTATTTTTATACTGTCAATATCACAACAACAAAACACGCTTTCTACGTTTATATACTAACAAAACATCTTTACTACAAGTACTTTGGTAAATAACATAAATATTTCGGTGTGAAAACTTAAACAAACTACTATCGGTAACGGCCACAGCTGTCATTCTAATTTTAAACTTAAATAATGGGTATAATAAGTATGCATCGCAATCAGTGTTGCCAACCCTTAAAAGTAGCAATGGGCGATTATGATATATACTAATAAAATCATTCGATTATAAAATGTTGATAGTTACAATAGAGTAGGATAATCAGTAGTCACTAATACTGCTAAGTTAAGACAACACACTACGGTTTCTCAGTCGCTTACACGTCGCTCGCCAAAAGTCTTGTTTAATGTCGATTTCATTCTATTGGAAGACGGTATAATAATAATAAAACTAGAGGAATATTATATATTTGTTGATATTTATCAGCTTTTTATTGTTTTAGTATTTAGGTTTACACAAATACATTACTAATTTCTTCTTAGATGGTGAGGAAATTTAAAAAGTCAGTTGCAGTCTTAATTTTTCAAACAGTCTGAAATAAAACGGTCAATGATTAGCCGTATTTCTTCGATTAAATACAATGATTCATAGGTTTTTTAAAAATTTGTTTAGAATTTAAAAAATACAAAATTGTCAAGTAATTCATACACATTAAGGAAATGAACATTTATTTATTAAGATTATCTTAAAGCCATAGAGATGTCTAAAAGTCATATTTAAAAAAGATCGGTCAACTTACTTTTAAATTTAATAAATTCACTAAAAGTGAAAAGCGCAACGTCTCACAATATCGTAGTAAAAAACAAACTACACCAATGTCTGTTTGTATCTATTACATATATACATTATAGTTTAAACAACTAAAATCACGGAGTACACGATTACAAGTACTAATTAGTAACATCTTCGATTATGAAAACAAATTAGTTACTAATTTCATAATCGATTACTAAGATTAGTAATATAAAATAAATCGATTAGGCCGATCATTCATAATCGCCCGCCTCTACTTAAAAGCAAAAAAAACTACAGCTGGCTTTAAGAAAATAAGGACGAAACAATAAAAATAAGTAAGAAAGTCAGTCAATCAATTTTCACGATTACTAAGTTGCCAAAATTTGTTGTTAATACTTTAACCTTGTCACCCACATTTTTATTCTATATTTTCGCTCATATTCTATATGATGATGATGATGATGTTCTGTAACTTTTCCCATATGCTCTTCTGTGGCTAAATAACTAGCGGCTGGTCAGTTCGAACTTAATCTGGATCGCTGTCAAAAACATATTCCTTTTACTTTATTTGCTATGAAAGAAGTTTATTTAGACATTCACTTAAACGTACGCTAAGTGAAAAAAATATAAAGGGATCATCAACACAGACGTATAAATAAGTACCTATTTATCTAACATTATTGCAAATGTTATTTCCTGGATAGAGTACAGCATTTTAAATACCTTGGCGTAATGGTCGACCGATGTCTATAAGTCTCGCATATAAATAGACTAGTTATTAGAATTCGAAAACTTCTATACATTTGAAAAGAACTAAGACGCAATAGTTAAGTCCGTAATTGGATACTGTGTTATTTCGTGGGGAGGGTCTGCAAAGACTCACCTCATTGAACTAGAAAGAACGCAAAGATGTATCCTTAAAGTAGGCCCAAATCTTCCTTATCGTTCTTTTACAACTGAACTGTACAAAATGTGGGGTGTCCTCAGTGTACGTTAATTATTTATCACTTTTACACTCACTTCTCTATAAGAAACTAAATTACAACCTTAAAATATATAGTCAAAACACATCTTTGTAAAAAAAATGTCACAACTTCTTAAAAACACTAAATTACACGGAGATCGATAGGCTTCTCACCCCTATCAGCTAAATCCTAAACAATAACAATTATAACAAATACGGATATTACACTCATGCGCACATACACACATACTTACCTGCACACCAACACAATTACACTTTATATTAATATATGTATAATAAAAACGCAGAGGCTTTTCTAAGTTGTAACTCTAGGTACTAAGTTCTTTTTTTTTTATTTGTCCAAATAATTTTATAGTGAGCTCGCGGTGAGGGGGGGCTGGTGACTTGTATCACAGGTTGTATTATTTCTATAACAGGCACCAGGCTCTCACAACGTGATACATGTGTAACATTGTAAAGTTGTGTGTGTTAAATGAATAATTATTATTAAGATGCATAGTACTAAAGTTGTAAATTGGTATCAGTAGATTATAATATGTCTTCTTATTCGGTGGCTCTACTTCGTTTTACTTGAGTTAAGTTAGTTTATTTTCTAATTTAGACTCATAAAATTTTGTTATAAATTTTTAATTTTTAATTGACAACAAGTACTAAAAGCAAAGTAGAAAATTAAAAAATAACAATTTTATCGTATTTTATGTCGTGATTGGCATTTAAGCTCATTATTCCATTTTCCATGGCGACAAATGGCGACTGCAGTGGGGCTCGCTCGCCAACCATAAGCACACCTTACTCTACATCTTGAACCTTCTAAAAGACCTCTTCTCTCGTCCGTACCTCCTTTACAACTAATTTTTCCATGCTCCGGGGGTTGCTGTGGCTTACACCAATGACGATCTTGGGTATAGAACAAAATATACTTTTTAAGGGAAAGAATATATGGTATTAATCTAGGTTCACATGCAATATAAAAATTAATCATTCCTAATTATCTTCGAGAATCGTTTTATTTGATTAGACAATAGCATCGACTTAACTTCCTAATAAGAGCTAAAACTATTTTCATTCATTAAAAGTTACATTTCACTGTGGTTAATGTTTTTCAAGGTGGTCATATTTTAGGTTATATCATAACCTAGCATGTGTTCAAAAACCCCGAGGGAATCTACCTTTGCACGTCGGAAGATCGCCGTTCCAAGTTAGACTATCTTTGCAAGCCAACGCCCGGCTTCCTTTTAGCTCTACCATTGGATCTCGACATGTAAAGTTACAAAGGTTGTTTTTATTATTGCAGTGTACTTGCAATTCCTTCGGAACAAGACAAGACTGAAGGATAACATTAATTTGCATTTTACAAAGCCGTAACACCTGCCGAAAAAAATAATAATAAATAAAACGACGACATCTCATGTTAAAAATAATAATCACCCTTTATGGGGATAATTTGTGAATATATGAAATAATTATCACTAAAGATGAATATACTTCACCTTATTTTTTTGTACAATGTGCCCTAATATGATATGCTGCCCCTCGCGTAGCAGAGAGCCGAATTTCGGTCCGTGCAAGTGTTCGAAACGAACTCGCTCGGGAGCTCTTCGCCCGGTACAAGACACGAGACGAGGTTTTTCGAAAAAAACTTTGTCTAACCCCGCTTTGCCTATGAGCGTTTTCTCCTGCGGACATCGTACGCATAAGCTGGCATCATCTGTGAAGCATTAATACTTTATTTATTAGTACTAATACGATCATAGTACAAGAACCTGAAGAAGAAGGTAACCTGAATCCAAAGCGAGACTCTTGATCATTTCGCGTGGACGACCTGGTCTGTTTATTTGATTCTCAAATCTTACGACCTCCTGTCCAGGATATACGGACGCAACTTCATTTACGTTTTTGTCTTTCATTTCCGCAAGATATGCGTCAGATTGATAAAAAAGTTTGGGGTCCTCTCTAGGTTTATTAGCCTCCTGTAAGGCCAACCTGGAGTTCAGGAGTGTGGAGTCGTCCGAATGGCGTACACCCACGAGCGGAGCGTAATGGCTATGTTTGTGAATATTGTCGCGTGACGCATAATTGTGTTTCAATATAGATCTTCTATTGTTTCTAAGTATCCGGTTCTCTATTGGCGATAAGTCAGTAGCTATTTTTTGAACTCTGAAAAACAATAAACATATGCTCAGCTCAGTGGCACATATTGATATTTTTGTGAGGAATTACTTAATTCTGCGCTTAAGATAATCGTGTGTCTAATTATTTTATGAACTTCACAAAAATCGGGTTCGGGCGATGCGATGAAAAAAACCAAACAAAATATTGAATGAATTTTAATATGAAACGAGTAAGTCACGTGAGATTAGATTATTTAGTCGTCGTGAGTATAAAACGTACTAAATTATATATATGTATACTTAATTTGTTTTAGATATAGGCACCTCGAATTTCAAACCGCTTATCCTACAAAATAAACACGTAGGAGTAGGAGTAGTCGGGGACGAAAACTAGTATAGGTAGGTAATATGTTCCAACATAATATGATCTTTAAAGCTTTGTATTGTTTAACAAACGGGTTCTAGAAAAACGTTTATATTTATTGCACAATAATGTTTCAAACGTACAAATGCGGAACCTTAAGCCACTTAAATCAGTAAAAGCAAAAACACCTGTAACACATTAAAAAGCTATTTTACTGCACGTCAACCTTATTTCCATATTAGACAGGCAAGACTACATTAAAATATTTTTAAAGCAATGGAACCAAACGAGTTTGAGCGCAGTAAGGATTTTGCTTCTCTTCGCGGTTTATCTAAACTCGCATAAATGCGCCGAGGCTAGCCGATGCTCACTAAACGCTAGATTTAGTACAAAATCGATTGAATGCAAAATTGACTACCGGCTTTACTGACCTGTTGAGATCCAAGTACGCTTCACTGGGAATGATGCACCCTGAAACAAAATAATTATTTTTAATAATTTATAGCGCCGGGAGCGCAACTCCCGACGACGCAATAGACGTTTGAGGAAGTCGCGCGAATACTTTCTCATTATGTTTAATTTTTGCGTTTGATTATTTATAGAAAATATTGAAGCAGACCAAGGTCTGCCTTAAATAATGTCCGACTTACTGACAACATTATTATGCATATACTTATACATAATATATACTCGTATAAAAAAAACAACAATGCTACACAATATTTTACGTCATTATCACGGTTACACATTCTACATACTTAAACATAGGTATGTTCCTACTAATGAAACTTGTTCCCCTGCGAGTATTGTAGTGATTTACTTGATTTAATTTTTTAAAACTGTGAGCAGATATTACAAAATACATTCGTCAGCGTCTGGTAGGTAATCATCGAAAGTTCATAACAAAAAATTCATAAATTCCAATGGACGTCGATCTTCCTTCACGTTCGGAAACGTACATTTTTAAATGTTGGACGCATCAATCACTAATATTATGTTTGGACGTCTGACGTCCTGCTGAGTACCTGCTGGAAATTGTGTTTACGACTTGTCTGTGCCATCAACGTAGGCTAATGGTTTAGGTCGTTTCATATTTTACTGAAGAAGATAGCATTTCCACTGTCTCGGGCTTACTTTTATAACATGACCTATATTTAACGAGAGAAATAAAGCTATATCCATGATTTCCAGTGTTAATACGACATTTGGCTCCTAAATAAACATATGTTTGTGCTAAATTTACGAAGGCATAAATTGAAACAACTAAACTTAAGCTGTTTCGTATCAATTGAATACAATTTTCATGGCAAACAAAGCCAATAGATGTTGCACGTTGTAGCGCAATCAAAACTAGATTTTGAATTACCTTATTACCTCTTACCTTAATTAGTTTATACGTGATATGTAGATTCATAGTATACGTTGTCTCAGGTAGGTTGTGCTGTGCGGAACGAGCGAGTTATATACTCGTACATACATTAGTCATTATTAATAACAACGTAATGATATCATTGGCCTAAATAATCATGATCTACAACACCCTTCTCATGAATACTAATTATTTTTATGTTTGTATGTTCGCGGATAATTTTGACGTCTATGAACTAATTTTTATTGAAAGTGGTATCAATGTTATGACTTGGAGTAGATATGAGAAAGGACCTTGCGTTGGCATTTATATTGTTATTATTTTTTTATGAAGCACCTAGATGCGTTCTGACTAACCTTGTTGGGTTGCTGCCTTATGTTTCAACCTTTTTTATTAACAATAGAGGTATGTGTTAAGACTTTGGTAAGCATTCTTCCTCGCTCTACCCGTCACTTAAAACAAAAATACGCAAACTAAGTAGAAAAAAAAATAACTTCGCCCAGGACTCTTTGTTTTTTATACGAATTTTAATAACTAAGTTAAATAGACACTGCTTAATCGATTTTTAAATGTTGTGCAATTAAGTACAATACTACAAAACCTTAAAAAGTAAAACATGAATGAAAACAATCTATGCTTACGGGATCAGTTATTATAAGGATTATTCAAATCTCTACACACTTAATTTTTCCTATTATTATTATTTTATGCCCTTGCTCTTTGGTTAGAAATTTCGAGACACTTAACTTTGAAGAACTAATATATTTAGACGGGGATATATTAATACTAGTCTTACCTAAACTCAAAACCGTAAGGACACTGCACGTAAAATACATTTCGGGTTACAAACAAAATTCTTACAGAATCCCGGAGATAAACTCAGAAGATCGTAGGCTAAGACTCTGCGAAGGCGACTAATGTTTCTTCCGCGTTTCGCGTCGGACTCGGTCCACGGTGCTTCGGCGTGGGTGGCGCACTCACACGCTACAGGCGCCAGAATAACACTCAATTTTGTACACTCACATAGGGAAGTCGTCGGGAGTAATATTTTCCACATCAGACAACAGACACTTACACGCCGAGCGGTTTACCCAATAGAATAGAATACGTTTATTCAGAAACAACATTTACAATTAAAACTTAACCTAATAACAATATCAAGACGTAAATAAAAATTTAAATCAAATACAATCAAACTTAAATACTATAGTTGCCTGTGAAAAGGAAGCCACTCAGCTACGTTGGGACTTGTATCCCAACAGTGATATTCTGTGGCCGAGCTAACGCAAGCAAGGTTGTTTGACATTTTAATATTAAACTTGCACACTATAACACTTATTAGAATTATACATAGAAATTATAATGGAATATAGTTTTATTAAAAGGTACATACAATACTTTCCCTTAGGATTTTATATATATACAAGTTCAAATTTAAAAAATACACATTAGAAAAATTACATAATTAAATTTTTTACTGTTTTTTTTTAAATAAAGTTTCTTGTTTCAATTCTTAAAATCTTACATCCAATATTAAATAATATATTGCCTTTGTATAATTTACATTCTTACATAAGTAATTTAATTGATAAATTACTACTAAAAAAAATTACAAGGAAATATTTATGCCGATTATTATACAACCCAAGCAGTGTTCGAATATAATTGTCATACCTAAAATAATAATTACTAATACTCTAAGTAAGCACTTATTTGACAAATGAATAAAATATTTCTAATATCGGGAAGAAAGCCTATGTGAAGATTGATGAAATATCTTCAAGTTTAGTGAGTTTGTGTTTTTCGATGTTGGTGTTTGGCGCGCAAAGACTTGACCCTTTCGAGTCCAAACATATCTCCATTTTTCACGTTTCGCTTCTTGACGAGTACGGAAGAAGTGGCGGTTATATTTTGTCAGTCGTTCGTTTATGTAGCAGCCTGTGGGCAGTGGATTGTCACGGCTGTCTTTATTATCAACTCGGCGAACACTTCGCGCAGATCGCAAGATCGAACGATTATAGGACGCGGTCGAGAAGGTTTCTCTGTGTCTGAAGTAATAGAACGGAGCCCGATCCTTTCGGAATACACAATGTCTCGATCATCTACATCTACACCCAGACTTTTAGCAATAGATTTAGTAACATCAATGATGTTCTCATTTTGTTTTTCTATAATTCCTGAAATCTCAACATCGTTACGAAGAGTGTCTTGATCCCGTTCATTTAACTCGGCGTTCAAGTAAGAGCAGTGGTTCCAGAAGTCCACTTCCAGCACACCAACTTTTGCTTCTAAAACACTCTTACGCGCCTCGGTAGTTTTTTCCAATGACGTCATACAGCTTTCGATGTCATCGAATCGTTTATTCAAGCAGGACAAAACGGTGTTAAGCTGAGACAATTCCTGGCGAAACAGTGACATTTCTTCCGCCACTTTCATCATCTCAAAATGCAATAGATCCATGTCTTGCCGGAATACACTTGGTCGTAGTTGCATCTCAGTAGCTTAGTTTATAATTGGAATCGGACTGTTAGAACTTGAGGACGAACCATCTGACGAAATAGGTTTGTTCTTGCCCTTTGCATTGTAGCCCTTGTATAACCAGCGACTGCGGCCCTTAGCGTTTGGTTTCATGCTAATAGCGCATTGCTTGTGACAATGGGAATCACAACGCGTACATTCAATTATCTCCGTCGAAGCAAACTTCCCACTCACCGAGCATTTTTGTGTCATTTTGTTATTTGTTAGTAAATATAAGACTATAATGTACGGTGGATGAAGGTAGATACAAATGACGGTAGCGTACGTTTTTACGAAATGTTTGACGACAGGGCAGAATGAAAGTGGCTAAAAACACTGTTAAACAAAACACTTTCACAAAACAACAACTGTAGTGGATAATTGGTAGATGTACTTCACATTTAATTACTTTTTGTGCAAATTAAATAGCATTTAGCATTTAATAATAGTTTATAACTGTTGAGCAAACTGTCGCCCGCGTTAGCAACGCCCTCTCTCCATGCTTACAGCTTGCTATCAGCTGTATCTTCGATGAGACATAACATGTTTATGTAAGACAAATACGTTTATGAAGTATCTTATGACCGGGATAAAGTATCAAACGGCTCGTCAACGTCACGGCAATATGACTGTTGAATTATACATTTGCACGTGGCTTTATCTCTTTCTTAATCTGCATCTCGTTATATGCACGTCGGACGGAGAAGACCCTTCGATCGGACAAATATGTTTCCGAAGAATTTTAACCCGCATTCAAAATACTTGCGTATGGGCAATTATCTAATACTGCACGCACTAAAAAATGTAGTTCAGAAATATCTGGGTTTTATGGGTTAAATATATAATTTATATTTTCTTAATACTCTCCTACTTACAATACTGTCTATTGTTTACCGATGTACACATTTAAATAAAACACTTTAACGGTTTAAAACGCGATACATTAGTTAAACTTATTTGAAAATATTTTTAACTTCGCCCGACGTTGTATACTAACTAAGATTCTCTATTGTTTTATACAAACGCTTTTTCGCTCGTAGATAGTTTTTCTTTCCACAATATAGTGAGAAACAAAATATTACTCAACTATTAGTTCTATCATACATCGACGGCCCCAAGTCAACGATTCAACGATTTATATGAATAGGACCTTGTTATGACGATACATCTATTAAGAAAAAGCTGTTAATCTGTTTACGACATTTATTACGACACCACTTTGATTCCCTAGCATTAGTACATGACGGTTATTGAAAACTGAATGTTACAATTTTGCAGACCTTTACAACTTTTTTTCAGGCGAACACTAGACGAGTTTGTTACAAGTGTGATAACAGCACGGGTGATATGGAGGATTCGGGCAGGTGAAAGCTTGACAGGGAGGGACCATCGGACAGCACTCCCCCGGATACCACACGGTGCGCGCGTACCTTCCACTTGGCCTCGTGCAGGCCCCGTGATTGAAGCAGTCGGCTTTACAGGGGTAGTCGTAGCAACACGGTCTGAAAAGCAAAAACCGAAGTTATTTGCCGGATTTTCAATCACGACGAAGCCCGTCGAACCTCAAAGGACAGCGTGTAGCAACGACACCAATACTATAATTGCACGTTTCGAACTATGTACATATATTTTGTGCTTTATCATAACGGTAACTTATCGACCTTTCAGCTGGCGCATTGGTCGGTCCGCTCATGTATCTAGGGGATTCTTTCTGGAATGGTTGCGGCCTCGGTTGTCCGCAACGAGGCCTTTTGTAAAATACGCTGTACTCGCCCCTGACGAGCCCGTATCGAGGGGCGGGGCGGAGACCTTCGAAACCCCTTGGCAGCACGGACATGCTTGACGATCGCAATGGCGGCGAACGAGTACCTGGAATCGTTACAAGTGAACACCGACTTTCGTCAACCTATAGCATTACTACTATGATATTAAACTTACCTTTATTTTTACTTGTCAAAATTGTTATTTTTCAATTTTTATGTTAATTTTAGAATTTTTACGTCTTTACCTACGGAAGAAAAACCAAATTAAAACAAGGAATTGTTCCCGTCAAGGTGACATTAGTAACGCATTTTGCAAATTGTAGGTTTTATATGTAAAGGCTCGTCGGTTTAATAGCAACATAATATGGCTAATAGTGAACGGGCGAGTTTAATCCTCACCTGCCGCAACATGTTTCTAAAATTTATTTGGAACCTTTCTAAAGCATTTTTCAGCAAAGCGTATTTGTAATATGGGCCTTATTTAAAACACGACACTTTGGTTATACTATTATGGTATACTTAGCCCATCTTTTCTTAGGTACAAATTTATTTTTTAACTAAAAATTTTTGTACATTACCCAAGAAGTAGCGCCATCTTAAGAAGTTGTTATGTCGTTTGTACGATGAAGAACTTGCTCGCCCAAACGCCATCGAGAGTAGTTTGTGTGTGTCGCTATTTGAGAAGTTAATAAACCAGTAAAATAAAACCACGAACTTATTAAATATAACATTTATTATAACATTTATTACAAAAATTTTACATTGTGTTAAGTCTGACAAACTGAGTTTAGCGGGTCTTAACGCTGGTGCCGTGATGTCCGACTGCAAAAACTGCTTTGTCGAAGGCGGCTACTGGACGAGGCGGCTGCCCGACGGCAAGGATGGCATCTGAAATAATATTCAATCCTTATAGAAGTCGTTAAATTATCATCGTCTGTTTCAGTTGAAATCGAAATAATAGCCCTTTTCATTATGGAAACGGACGTCAAACGACTCCGCGGTTCTGTTGTAGAAGAATCAGAATCAGATCGCGTCAGAAACGAGGAAGCTGGCTTCTAATCACGGGAAATATGTTTCTGTCAGATCGATCTTTGTTCTACATCGGGCGAAAGAGAATTAAAATTTAAATAGCCAAATAAAAAAATTGACTTCGGTGACGGTAACGTGTCACTGGATATGTGCTACTTGACTGTAAACTGTGACGAGTGAGCCGGCTCCTCCGCAGCACGGCGGCCGACACGGCGAGCAGCGAGGTGCAGCACACGCACCGCACCTGCAAGAGACCCCAATGCAGTTAAGTTATCTGCCCACTTGAGGGCTGTACCTAAATGACGACTCCAGAATTAGTGTGATGATTACGAGTTAAGCTCAACTACATTTTCAAAAAATACTAGAGTACAATATAAGACAAAGGCCGAGGGTCGGGTACGTAAGGGCTTACTGAATTTCGGATCGAATCGTTTGTAGTTTATTTATAATTTCCATTCTGTTGCACATTTCGGTTATGTTTTCTTGTTATCGTGAAAAACACTAAGCAAATTTTGTTATTAGGACCTAATAATTATCTCGGTCTTTGTAAAAATGTCAGATTTTGAAATGCATTTGTTTCGATTACCTCTCAATAGACTGTCATGTTGAATTTGAATCTTTCTTTTAAAAAGGTTTAATATATATAATAGAGACGGCTAATTGCGCGATGGGGAACACGAGGGATAATGCGATTGAATCTGGAAAGATAAATATATCTTGTATTAAATTAGTATGTTAACTAACCGATTTCACATACAGCTGTATGAGAATTCTGTGCCCTTTCGGACTGAAAAAAATTATTGCCCTCCCGCTAAGCGAAACGTTAAACCAAATAGATACAGAGGCGGTCGTGAGTGAGGAATTCTTGAAAATAATATACTTAAAAAATTACATACTGGTCTTTGAAAATTAATTAGTTGATATCGGACTTTTTTGTCTTGGTTATTAAGCAGCATTCCCGGATAGCCGGTGGGGCGGTAGTCGAACGTACTGTCGTGGACTATGAGCGGTCGACGGACTGTAACGGGGTCCATGCCGCACGGCAAACACGGGAGACCCTGTACACGAGGAAAAGCGACACTCCGCTTAATTTTTACTTATATTACGTAACGTATGTTCATATATTCTAAAGTACGGACCGAATGCAATAATTAGTGTTTATTAAAAAGAAAACCTTACGCTTGAGTCACCGTTCTAGATGGTGAAGCCGCTTATTTTTCTTAACACGACAAGACTGTTAAACACATTTTTCTATTTTCTACATTTTTTCTAGTATATGTATAGTGTAACAACGCCGTTTACTAGGTAATATAACTCGATTGGACTCACTGACCCTAACAGGGTAGCATGGAATGCATTCCGGAGGCTCCTTGTAGCTCGGTAAATTAAGTACTGGACTACACATTTTTTTCGATTATACCAAAAAAGGTGCGCAAAAATTTAGAAATATGAGGTCAAAAATGACTGAAATGTAGTGTTACAGTGACATTTTATTATTTTTTACTGAATCACGCTTTAATGAAAAAGTTATTGCGGTACATCAGTAGGTAATCTTCTTTCGACTGAACTTCTTGAATGTGGATATCTTTCTATCATCGAGGAAAATTAATATGCGATGGAGCTCGTAATCGGTTCACGGAATTCTAATAAATAACGAGGCCAACGCGATTCCTACTTTACCGTCGAAACTAGACGGTCTGCGTCTGTTATAAATTGCTGCGTTTCCCTGTCTAGTGCTCATTTGGTCCTTTACCTGAATTGGGGTGATACAAATTTAACGTATATATATCTATATATACAACATGTCCGGCTGTGGAGCGCCTCCTTGCCCGCCTCCGGTCTGCGTCCCGTTCCCGAGTTCAAATTGCGGCCCAGGACCCTATTTGTGCCAGAACAACATACCACCCACACAGCGATGCTATCCGGTGAATCCGTGTATCAACATCTACAGCTGCCACACACAAATTATGTAACGGGAATTACGGGAAAAAAGGAAAGGATGATAGTGGTCAAATATGTATTCACAGTGCCGTTATGAAGTAAATAAAGTATCTTTTTATAAATTCTATTCTTTCCAAGTTACTTCACCACAAAAAATCTTACGGATTAAACAGATAAATTGTTAACCTATAAATAAATAAATAACCTTATGGTTCGTTATCATTAAGGATACCTGATTATATTATTTTTTCTCCTCGTCCAATGGAAAATTAATATTTCCGGCTGCGAATAAATCGCAAGCTCCTTTGACACGCCTCCGACGTTAGCGTCGTGTTATAGGTCTGCCCGAGTATACTGACTGGGATACGACTGCAAACTTTTTCACACAGATCGGTCTGCACGAGCTCTTTTGCTGTCTTTTCACAAAATTTCTTCGTAAAGAGTGTGGTCTGCGTAATAACCACACACAAGGTGAGAGAGAAATAAAACAAGCACATATTAAGCACACTCGTATAATTATGCGACGAAACTAAATCGAACATTCTCTTGCTGCAACTTGACTTTTACACAAGTGGAACGGGTACATGGTAGCATGGGTTCGGCATAGGTCCCTGTAAGACATATCTTATTATCACGTGAAACAATATAAAGTTAAAATTACACTCCCAATTTGTAGAAAATCACGTAGGCACCTGTTTGATATAGTTGTTGACAGTATAGCGAACATTAGGGTTTTTCCTTTGGAAACAGTCTTTTGGAAACGCTGAGGGTCTCTTCTGGAAAACGCTGTCGTGTACAATTAACGGCCTTCGCCTTGTTACAGGATCCATTTCACAATCCGTACAAGAGCTGCGGGCAACTGGCAAGCAAGGGTAAGAACACGGAGGGGCTCGCGGGCATATCGGTCGCTGTTTCGGGAGAATAGGGGGTGGGCATTGGGGATTGCAGCAGGGTAAAACTGGTTGATAGCACCTAATGGGCTCCACACATGGAACAGCCTAAAACAACATTTTACAAACATTCGAATTAGCAATATAATAACTACGTCACGCATATGGGTACTCACCGGAGGAGGGTCACAAGGCTCAGGTGGTGGACAGCAAGGTAAAATAGGAGGACAACAAACGGCTTTCGGTGCAGGGTACGGTGGTGGGTCGGACGGCGGTGCCCTACGTGGCTTACAGCATGGAAGCATCGGTACTATAGGAGGAACAAAATCTGGAATAACTGGAGCTGGACATTGCCTGAAAGTGGGTTTACATATGCACGGTGGACATGGCGTGCAAGGTACAGGTGGGGGACAGCATGGTTGGCAACACGGCGGCGGCAGAGGACAGTCAAAGCGACAAGGGCCTGAGCCACAAGGTAGAGTCGGCGGGCAGGTGGGACAGAAGCACATTGAGCACATTATGTTTCTTCACTTTTACTTTCATACAATCTCAATTACCAATTTTTATACGAATTTAGTTTTATTTAATTTTTTATAAGAAAATATTTAAACTGTTATTAAAAGAAAATTAACTGACGTATTTTATTTCTTTCCTTCTTTTTTCTTAAGGCCTTATATTTCTATACTGGCCAGTGTTTCGTAGAACAAAAGAGAATATTTTTGAAATAAGAATATTTTTGAGTAAATGTCATTCGATACAAACCAATTCGAGTAAATTTTACAATATTAATTTTCCAAAAAAATAAAATAATAAAAAATGAGTGCTCCTTTTTACAGTTATGACCCGTGCGTCTGCACAGGGATGCCGTGTGGAGCGTGTTACCCGTACTCCACGAAACCTTGTGCAGCATCGATTAATGACTTGGGAAAATGTTCCGTATGTCCGGGGGGTGGATGTTCCCCGTGTCCCGCTCCAGTCAGACCTTGTCCCGAACCGTGCCCAGCTCTTCCAATATTGCCTTCACTGCCACCGTGCCCGCCGTGTGATAAGGTCGGTAATTATAAAGCCAGATAATAATTATGGACACGAGGGCTAAGCTCAGCTTATGCCTTATTTCTAGGTTTCTAGAAAACTTTGTAAAAAATCAGTGTTTCACCTTTACTGTCTAATTTAAAGTTAGTAATATGAAGTAAAGTGGGAAGCACGCTATTTCTTATTTCATTATTATGGTGTTATGATTATCAGCGAGGCAATCGTGTATGATTGCACTATGATTGCCTCGATGATATCGCTGAAAATGGTCGCTGTCGAGACGAGTTTATTTTAGGCACATTAGAAGTTTACAGCAATAGTGGAACAAATCAACGAAACTCGAAAACGAGCCACGACGAAAAGCGCAGGTCCGGCTAAGAGTAAGAACTGCTAAATGTTGCAGCCACCTAGCCCAGTCCCGGCGCCTGGCCTATTTTGTGACAGTGTCGCTATTCCATGTTGCCGACCTAACCGCTGTCGGCCCTGCCCTTGCTATTCTTGCACAGAGCCAGGAGTATGTTGTCCAAAGCGTTGCAGTCACCCAGGAGTACCAGTTTGTTGTGGTGCCTGTGGACCATGTATGCCTATATGGTAATCTGAAGCCTAAATAAAGAGCCCATTTCTAGTATGACCTGGATGTTTTCTTACTTATTCCTATATAATAATATTGCTTAAATGTGATCGCCCAGCTGAGATTTTCAACTATTTTCTATGGAAAAGGAAATTATACTAAAGAAAAACATAGAAGAATGTATCTTTGCTTTGTAAGCATCTTATATGAGTGATCGGCAGCAATATGTAGATTATGGGGGCCACCAATCGCAGCCATATTTTACCCGGTCTGGAATAAGTCAAGGTTCGAACCTGGGACCTTTCGAGTTTGTCGTCACGATAAATGATTTACCATCAGTTGTAGAGCATAGCAAGTGTTTACTGTACGCGGACGATTTGAAAGTTTTTTTACAGGTCAAAGACGTGAACGATTGCAGATCTGCAAAATAAACTAGAATTTAACTTGGATAAATGTTCTGTCGTTAGTTTGACACGCGCCTGTAAATCTGTTAAATTCGATTAAACCGTAGGGACAACCCGCATACGAAGAGACTCGAATTCGGGATCTAGGCGTCTTATTCACGAACGACGTATCGTTTCGTGACCACATTGTAAATATTTGCCAAAAGGCATATAGAAACCTTGGTTTTGTCTTACGACAAACCAAGGACTTTACGAATATGGCTGCGGTGCGGGTACTGTATGGCGCATTGGTGCGAAGCCATTTAGATTTTAAGTCCTCTATTTGGGCCCCGGCCGAAGAAAAATACAAAGTAATGCTGGAACGCATCCAAAATAAATTGGTTAAGCATAAATACTGTCTATAGTTTAGAGTAGTACACATTTAAATAAAACACTTTAACACTTTAGGCATATGTAACCATCCCCCCCCCGAAACCCCCCCACCCCCCCGAAACGTCGTACGGAAGTTAAATATCATTTCAAATAAGTTTAACTAATATATCGCGTTTTAAACCTTAAAGTGTTTTATTTAAATAGTTAAGCATATGTATCCGACTAAAGTGTACGGAGTATATATCTATTTTATCCTTTAATTACGCCTTTTTAATAGGCATGGTCGGGTACAATGAATTGAAGGTACGGAGGGACTTATTCCTTGTGATATATCTGGTAAAAGTATTGCGGGGTCGAGAGTTGTACCCGGGAGTTCTACAGTCCTTACACTTGTCTGTTCCGGACCGATACGTTGTGGAGGCGATTACGACCACCGTTACGTTACTTGCGCTGCCGTACTCACGTACCAACTTGCTGATAAAATCTGGTTTAAGTGACCGGTCCGATCTCGGTCCTAGTTCCGAAAGTGAAACCGTGAAAAGCAGGTGACTACTTATTTATGATTTAATGCTATAATACGTGGCTAAAAGTTAGCGTCACATAAATTGCACCCCGACCGCCCACTGTAACAGCACCGCCGTTTTTCCCGGCCAGCGCAATGCGTCCTGCGTGTCGAGTTGTATCCGCAGTCCTTATTTTAGTAGCTAAAATCGTCGTTCTCGTATAAAAATGGTTTTATTGGTCAGTTAAAAATGGTACTTCTAATATATTTGTTTAAAACCTGTGCATTACATTTTAGTTTTACCGTTGTTAGGTGCCTAAATTATTTCCTACAAGACGAAGCTATTCCGCAAGTTGTAGCCGGTTAGTAATGACTTGTTAAAATGTACTTTTATTCTCTGACTTATATACGTTGAGGCAGGTAAAACGCTGACAGAAGTTGTACTTTTCAACCGCTTCGGGATATTTTATAGTGTTTTTTTTTATTAAAGGCATTAGATTGTATCCAGGAAACATAATATCTGTTGACTCGAGTGTAAACCCCGGGATAGTTCGAGGCGATGCCGATCAAGTCGCCGCGATCGCCCTCGCAGAAGTCTCCGCCGCCCTCGACGACGCCGGCGCACACCATGTTTTCCGTCCCGCTCATACTGATGAGGTTATAGTTTTCTCGGCACACCTCTTGACTTATAGTTCTAATGTCGGCTCTTCGTAAGCGGTCCGATCGCGGCCCTTCGTACTGCAAAATATATTTTCTAGATAATTCGATGGAGCGGCCACTCAAAATTTAATTGAGTCATGTTACATGCGACCGATGGCCTATCGCGCTTTTCGAGTGTTTGCTTTGTTTAAAGGAGTTTAACCGTGGCTCTCGCGATCGGCAGTCGGCATCTAATCGCCACACGAGGCAGCATTACCTACGTAATAAACAGTAGAACCGAAAAAAGCCTTATGCCTATATTATAGAGCCCCATCCGAGAACAGTCACGGGGAATCGTCTGCGACGAAATAGCCGGAGCCGGCGAGGGCGATGCGGCCGAAGTGTAAGATAGTGTCCGCAGTCCTCGCGAGACCTACGTCACCGTCGGAGGCGTAAGCACTGTACCCAGATACGAAAAAAAAAAAAAAAAACCCCCTCTTTTTTTTTTTTTTTTTTTTTTTTTTTTTAATATTTAAATTTAAAATTTTTATTTTTAATTTTTTAATATTTTTATTTTTTTTTTTTTTTTTTTATTTTTATTTTAAAAATTACCACCCCCCCCCCACAAAAAAAAAAATTATAATTTTTTGGGTTTTTTTTTTTTTTTTTTCACAAAAAAAAATTTTTTTTTTTTTTTTTCGGAAGATTTTTATGTACCACGAAAGACTTTCGTACTTTATAGTTTGCTTAGTTTGAACCTTGTTTGTGCGATCTCTAATCAATGTAATTGTAAGACTGTTTAATATTAAAAATAAATACCTGCTGGTCAAAAACATTGGGTTTTTCATTATTTTATAACTTTTACCAATATGCGTCGTGAATTATTAATAATTAGTACTAAAAATGATAAATTTCGATCGTTTATTCACATTTACCAAAACTTGCGGTCATTATTCATAATAATAGATAATTATTAATAATTTTCAATTAATCAGATTTACCGTAACATATACATAGATATGTTCTTACTCATTATTTGGTGTTAATTTTTTATTTAATATAAACGTTCATATTTTTGTACGATAGCACAATGAATTAATATTTTATTTTACCACATAAATACTTTTTACCCGACTTAACAAAAAAGTAGGTTTAAACTCGATTCGTAAACTCGTACAGGCTTTTCTAATGTTCGTTCGCGCATAAACTGAATCATGTTAACTGATTAACTAAAGTACCTTTTGATTTTTGACTGAGTAACTTTTGATTTTTCAGATTTCCAGACCAAATGTCTAGAAATCTGAAAAATCAAAAGGGTGATGGTATTAAAAGGAATATGGAAATTCCACTCGGGTTACAAACCACCGTCCATATATGAAGAGGACGTAAAGTTTAATCACGCTATAGTTTCAGTCCATGGATTTCCGAATATTCAAAAGCCCAAATAGGCTGGAGTATTTTTATGCTAGTCTGTTCTTCTAAATATTCTAAAAAAGAAGTTAAATAGAAATGACTTAATAGCTATTCTTTTTACTTCTATTTTCGCTTAAGTTCATTGCGTTTTTTATTTTCCTCCTTATTGAAAATCACATTTTTTGTTATTAGGCTAAACTGTCTCCCGCGGCCTCAAGAAGTCAAGGTTGAGTAAAATTGGTGCGGGTGAATCGTTTTAGCTCGTTTACAGTGATAATGAATTAGAATATAAGTTTAGATAATCCAATGCATTCGATAAGACTACAATCAGTTATTACAGACTTTAGTGCAGCCATGACATAATCGGCTTTCCTTTCCCCGCGAGTAGAAGTCATAAGAAGACCAGAGATAGAGAAGCATCAGCTCAGCACTTCATTTAATTTAAGCAAAACAAAAACGAAGCGAGTAGCTATCTTTTTAATACTTGTCTGCTTTAACAAATAATTATACATTTCGCCAAATCGTCATAAGATTTACTTCTTTCTTCCAGTCTTTGGACAAGGTTGACGGCATTGCCTTAGAACCAGATGTAGATCGTAAAATGTCATATGATGAAACGAAAAGTATTCGGGATTCTGGTAGTATGCGCATTTACAGGCTCCTCGTCCTAACACCTGTTTGTAAAGTGTTTACGCATTATAAATATTGGCAAAGTTTGTGGCACATACAATAATAATACATAACATACGAGTCGAACCTACCTCTCCGGCGGTACATCTGAAGACTCCCGTGGGAATACCGTAAAGTGGTTCGAAGTAAAGTTGTACCGAATCACTTGGAAGGTTGTGGCCATACTTGCGCATCTGAAACGCATTTAAATGCAGTTATAGAAATGAACATTATACCTTAACGTCGATCACTTAGTATATAGGTTATACGGTTACATCGTAGCATGAAGGTAATGCACCGCCTGCGAATTCCGGTGGCCTGTCTCGGGTTCCGCCGCGATTATTGCTACACTGCACTAATGACAAATATGGGCTTCTACTTATTATAGTCGAAAAAACATTTCGAGATATTAATTTACGTTCCAACATTGTTAAATATTATCGAGTAAAATAAAACATCAAAAAATTATTTATTAAAGTTACATATTTTTGAAAAGATAATTTAAGTTTTAATTATTAAAATCATTTTAATTGTCGAGCGTGGTTGACTTTCCACGAGGCTCGTGTTTCGGACGATTGTTGTGTTTCTAGATGACATGTCACTAGAAAAAAAAAGATTATTTTTGGTCTAGGCTTTTGACTTTCGGAAATTACATGGACAGACTGAAACCGAAATGCGATTAAACTTCACGTCAACCATCACTTCGAAGCAATGTATAAATCTGTGGTACAGGGTGCCATTTCGTGGTCTCGTGTGGTTTTGAAATGCGCGTAGAAGCACCGAGATGAGGTGTAGCAAACTGTTCTCGATGTCATTCCCGGAAATAACCCTACGACAAAGATTTCAACCAGTAATAATACGTCGGAGTACATTTAAAGCCATACTAATGTCTATCTTTTATACAATATTTAAATTGTGTTAAGTAACTCGAAGCATAATATGGAAAAGCATAATTGAAGCATAAGGAAACTAATTTAAGCGACAATAAAATGTATTTAAATAAAACTCTTTAACGGTTTAAAACGCGATATATTAGTTAAACTTATGTAACGCGTTACCTAAGATGTTGTGCTAAGCCCTACAAGCCGAGTCAATGCCAGCCAAGCCAGCCATGCCAGCCAAGCCAGCCAAGCCAGCCAAGCCAGCCAAGCCAGCCATGCCAGCCATGCCCAGCTATGCCAGCTATGCCAGCCATGCCAGCCGCTAACCATCATGTTAGCAAACAGAGCCAATCACAAACCGAGCCGTAGACTGTGATATAGTCTGTGATGTGATACAGTCTGTGGTGTGATATAGTCTGTAGTGACAAAGATAGTTCACTCCCGAGATGACAGATCGTGCATTCACATATCGGGAAAAGCGCGCGAAAGCGCGTGCACGACATTGGGTTAGGCATTCTAATTGTGGGACTAATCAAAGCGAAAGCTCTGTTACAATTTGATAAAAATTAAAGTCTTTAATCGGTCAAGTTGTTTATTTAAATTACCTCGTTACAATTCAGAAGTGGGATGAAGCGCAATAAAGTTGGACACGGCGTCCGCCGAAACAGTTCCTCCAGAAAAAACAACACCGACCGAAATCATGAGGAACCGCCTGCCAAGAAATTGTTAAAGCAATTGCTTCAAAATGAAGTAAAAAGAGCCATGAACGATCTAAATCAGGAAATCTCTAGCGCCGGCCCAAGCAACCCTCAACGAACGTCATCGCTAATTCCCGATTTCGATCCTGACAGCGACGATTGCACGGTGTCGGCCTGGATAAATAAGATCGAGCAATTGGGAGAGATATATACATGGAGTGACACAGTAAAGGCATTCTACCTTCAAGACAAGCTACGCGGTCAGGCTCGCAAATGGTATAATCGACTCGATGATTATGATCATACGTGGCAAGAATGGAAAGTCTTGTTGCTACGCGCATTTCCGAAGCATCGAGATTACGGTTCTTTGCTAGAGGAAATGATGCAAAGGAAAAAGCTACCTAATGAATCTATGACCAAATATTATCAAGATAAAGCTACATTATGTTTTAGATGTAAGCTATCGGATGCTGCTAGCGTGTCATGTATAATACGCGGCCTACCCGCTTCCTTGCAACCTAACGCACTTGCTTTTCAATGCGAACGTCCTGATGAACTTTACGAAGGGTTCCTTAGCGCAATGGATGACTATCGGGGACAATCTGTCACCCGCCCGCAATGCAAAGAGAACCAACCTTTTACTGTCCCAAAAGTTTATGAAAACGACCCGTGCCCACGATGTAAGAAGGTTGGTCACATGCTGCGTAATTGTTCCATGCCAGATCTACGCCTGTGTTATAAATGCGGTAAGCAAGGACATATAGCCACAAAATGTGATACTTCGATTTTAAACTCGGCCGGTGGTGGTGTTAGAGACATAAAATTAATTCAAAATTACAACGATACCTACAAAAAAACAGCTCAAGTAGATGGCATTTATATCAAATCATATCTGGATACTGGTAGCCAAGTAAATGTAATGAGCGCGAAGATTTCTACTGCCCTTTCCTTGAAAGTCATACCAACGAAAATAATACTTAAAGGATTTGCCGGCGGTTTAATTACATCCCGCGGGAAAGTTCAAATAAATCTGAAAATAGATAACGTGGAAATGTCTAGTGAAGCTTACTTGACAGACGCAGAGATGGGTGACGTAGACCTATTGATTGGACAGCCTGTCATTAACGCGGGAAACGTGACATTGACGGTTGAAAATGGCGCGGCCACTCTGAGATTAATTGAGAATTGTGATTTTCTATCTAAAATTAATGACATTAACAAATTGGGAAAGTATATCGTCGTCACGGCTGCCAAAGAAACTTTACCCCCGGGAACGTCAATTATCCGAGTAAGAGTTGAAGGAAACCGCGAAGACAACAATGTATGCAGTGCTATGCGACATTATGAGTTTGGAGATATCTCTTACTCTTTACCAGCTACGCTTCTGCGAGGCAATTTGGGTTACATAAAGATAATCAACAGCGGCCAAAAGGACATAACATGGGACGCCAGTCAAATCCTCACGCGGGCAGAGGATTGCTCAGAGCCAGCCATAGATAGCCAGGTTAGCCTTCCTTATTTTACTAACTGTGTGCAATCTGTGTTACATTTAAAGCCTGAAGATACTATTGGGGGTGTTCAAATAGCAGATATGAATATTGGTAAAATAACAGACAGTGAATATTTACAATTAATAGAATTGTTAGTTAGATTTAAGGATTGCTTTGCTAGGGGTACTGACGACCTTGGTTGTACTAATCTCATATCAATGCCAATTAATCTCACCACTGAAAAACCTATTTATCGCCATCCCTATCGGTTATCACATTGTGAACAGGACATTGTAAAAAGTAAAATTACCGAATTGTTAAATGCAGGTATTATCAAAGAGTCCGAATCAAGTTATGCATCTCCTGTTGTTTTAGTTAAGAAAAAGAATGGTGATAGTAGGTTATGTGTAGACTATCGTGCCTTGAATTCAATTACAATAAAAGATAGGTATCCTATGCCTAATATTGAAGATCATATAGCAAAGTTGTCAGGGAAAAAATATTTCACTTGTCTCGATATGGCACAAAGCTATTATCAACTTCCATTAAAGCCACAAGATACTCACAAAAGTGCTTTTGTTTGTCAAGCAGGGCATTATGAATATACTAGAGTGCCATTTGGGTTAGCAAATTCACCCGCAGTGTTCATGCGACTAATTAGTAGGATAGTGAGTTCAATCAATAATAGCCTCGAAGACTCATGTGAAGTATTAGCGTTCTTAGACGATATCTTGTTACCTTCAACAAGTGTTAAGGGTGGCCTTAAAATGTTAGAAATATTACTTAGTAAATTTAAATTAGAAAATCTTAAATTAAATATGAATAAATGTTCATTTTTGCAACAAAAAGTTACTTATCTGGGTCATGAGATCTCTGAACATGGAGTACAACCCGCAGAACATAAGCTCAATGCAGTTTCACAATTTTCAGCACCCAAAAATGTACATGAAGTTCGGCAGTTTATAGGGTTGTGCAGTTATTTTAGGAAATTCATCTATAAGTTTGCTCAAATAGCTCGTCCATTAACTGATTTAACTAAGAAGGATGTAGCTTGGAATTGGGGCACTACTCAGGCGGAGAGTTTTGTAGAATTAAAGAAACGCTTGTGTTCTAAACCTGTGTTAGCTTTATATGATCCTTCTCTCGAGATTGAGATTCATACAGATGCCTGTAAGGCCGGGATAGCAGGCATCCTTTTACAAAAACAACTTGATATCACTTTGAGGCCAGTCACGTATTTTAGTCGCATAACATCTAAACATGAGAGTATGTACCACAGTTATGAACTCGAAACGCTTGCTGTTGTTGAATCACTACGGAAGTTTCGAATTTACATAGTAGGTAAAAGAGTAAAGGTAGTCACTGACTGTACAGCCGTTCGTTCGACCTTAACTAAACGCGATTTAATTCCTCGAATTGCAAGATGGTGGTTGATGATACAGGATTACGACCTTGATATTGAATACAGACCCGGAGAACGAATGAGACACGTTGATGCTTTAAGTAGGAACGCATTAAATACGGTCAATGTGTATAGGTTGGGGTCTGAAGATTGGTTTTATACGGTTCAGATACAGGATGAAAAAGTCAAAAGTATTATCGATCAATTAAAATCGGGCGCCGCAGATAAGGACATAGTTAGGGACTTCGTAGTTATTAACGATAGATTATATAGACAGACTATTAACGGAAATAGGCTTGTTGTTCCTAGGGTAGCTAGGTGGAAAATCGTTCAAATGCATCACGATGATATAGGACATGTAGGAATAAAGCGTTGTACAGACTTAATCAAAAATGATTATTGGTTTCCGAAAATGAGTCGTTTTATTAAAAAATATGTGACGGCTTGCTTACACTGTGCGTATGGAAAGGGTGAAAATGGTAGGCGAGAAGGGTACTACATCCCATTTCTAAACCTGCGAGGGTTTAGAGTAATTCATGTGGATCATTTAGGTCCATTTTGCAAAAACAAAGAAAGGATATAGTTACAGTTGTTATGACTGATGCATTCTCGAGTTTGTGTTGCGGAACCAACCCGAACCCTAAATTCTATTGAGACAATAAGAGTACTAAAAAAAGTTTTTAGTTTGTTTGGTTACCCCGATAGAATAGTCTCGGATCATGGTAAAGCGTTCACTAGCAGGTACTTTAAAAAATTTGTCACAGAAAAACAAGTAAAGCACACTCTAACTACTATTGCGTGCCCTAGGGCAAATGGGCAAGTGGAACGAACCAATCGAACTATACTTAACGCATTACGCGCTACAGATCCAAGCGAAGCGGCGAACAATTGGTCAAATAGCATTTGCGATGTGATATGGGGCATCAATAACACTTTAAATGATAGTACGGGGTTTAAGCCGTTTGATCTGATGTTTTCCCGAAATGCTAGGTCTGTATGCGATGTTTCAATTCCGGGGCGAGTATTTGAGTCGACTCAAGACAAACGTCGAAAAGCTAAACAACGTTTGAAAAAAAAAAAAAAAAAAAAAAAAAATTTTTTTTTGGGGGGGGGGGGGGCCCCACAAAAAACAAAAAAAAAAAAAAAAAAAAAAACTCCTAATTCACATTCTCCCCCCCCCCCCGGGGGGGGGGGGGGGGGGGGGGGGGGGGGGGGGGGGGGGCCCCCCCCCCCCCCCCCTTTTCCTTTGGTTTTTTTTTTTTTTTTTTTTTTTTTTCCCCCGCCCTTTTGGGGTTTTTTTTTTTTTTTGGGGGGGGGGGGTTCCCCCCCCCCCAAAATTTTTTTTTTTTAAAAATTTTTTTTTTTTAAAAAAAAATTTTTTCAAAGGGGTTTTTTTTAAAAAAAAGTTTTAAAATTTTTTTTTGGAAAGGTTTTTACGTTTTTGGATAAAGCTAGCTCTAAAATGAAACGTAATTTTGATAAGTGTAGAAAAAAAAAGTCGTGTGTATAGTAAGAATGATCTGGTTTTGTGGAAACAGGCTCCGACGAGTAGTGCCGCCAAGGTCAATACCAAACTAGATGACATTTATTCAGGTCCATACATTGTAACTAAAGTACTAGGTAATGATAGGTATAAAATCAGAAGTATAAAGGGGGTACGTGGGTATAAAAGTTTTATGGGGTTAGTTTCTGCTGACGCTCGTCCTAGAAGTAAGCCCCAGTCTGAGTGACTCTAGTGTGACGAACAAGTAGAAACTGAGGATTTGATTGATTTACTAGAAAGCTAAATACGTATTTGTTCCCGTGCGGGAGCATCGTGCAGGATGGCCGATTGTAACGCGTTACCTAAGAGGTGCTAAGCCCTACAAGCCGAGTCAACCAGCCAAGCCAGCCAGCCAGCCAAGCCAGCCAAGCCAGCCAAGCCAGCCATGCCAGCCATGCCAGCCATGCCCAGCTATGCCAGCCATGCCAGCCGCTAACCATCATGTTAGCAAACAGAGCCAATCACAAACCGAGCCGTAGACTGTGATAAGTCTGTGATGTGATACAGTCTGTGGTGTGATATAGTTGTAGTGACAAAGATAGTTACTCCCGAGAGACAGATCGTGCATTCACATATCGGGAAAAGCGCGCGAGGGTGCACGACATTGGGTTAGGCATTCTTTGTGGGACAATCAAAGCAAGCTTGTTACAATTGAAAAAATTAAAGTTTTAATCGGTCAGTTTTATTAAAAATTTTTTTTTTTTTTTTTTTTTTTTTTTTTTTTTCTTTTTCGGGGGGGGGGGGGGGGGGGGGGGGGGGGGGGGGGGGGGGGGGGGGGTTTTTTTTATTTTTTTTTTTAAATTTTTTTTTTTTTTTAATGTTTTTTGTTTTTTTTTTTTTTTTGGTGCCCCGGGGGGGTGGTTTGTTGTGTTGTGTGTCGGGGGGGGGTTTTTTTTTTTTTTTTTTTTTCTTTTTTTTTTTTTTTTTTTGGTTCCCCGCCGAAGGGGGGGGTTTTTTTTTTTTTTGAAAAATTTTTTTTCGGGGGGGGGGGAAAAGGGGGTATAAAGGGGGGTTATTTTGGGTATTTAAACAGTCCCGGAACTAGTAGGTAAGACCTAGAACCTCGATTTTGTAGGTAGGTATTGTTAAACACTTTGCCAATTTTTTTTTTTAAACCCCCCCCCCCCCCCAAAAACCCCCTTTTTTGGGGGGGGCCGCCCCCCACAAAAAAAAAAAAAAAAACCCCCCCTTTTTTTTAAAGGAAAAAAAAAAACACCCCCCTCCCCCCTCCCCCATAGAAAAAAAACCAAAACTTGCTCGAAATTTGATCGTAAGGATTACGCAGTACACAAATTTAATTCTAGCATAATTTCATCACTAAAGCTGGCAATCCACTGGAAGCTTCTAGACTATTTCGCATTCCACCTCCCGCCTTCGCAGTCGAACAACCTGGTAACATTTCATTGAACAAGCGTAAGAATTTTGATTTTATCATCCGCTTTATTCGATCCTTGTACATTGGAACCGCCACCTGCGAGTGGATTGCGTCCCGGTCGAATGCCCGGAGCCGCCTCGAAACAGTCCGCTTTGCAAGGAGCGTTCCAGACACACGGCGGTGGCGGTTTCCAGTGCACGCAGCCGGCTCGGGAGCAAATTTCCTTAGGTGCCTCTACTTTAGGCCTACGAGGTCGACCACCGGGTCCTATAACTAAAGTGTCGTCGCTCGGCTTAACGTCCTCACTATTGAACCTACTTATTAAACCCTCCAATGTTTTTTCATCGAATACAAACATAGAAGGTGCATCAGGTCGCACGTAGGCAGGGTTTCGAGACAAAGTACCCAACGAAGGTGGACACTTACAGCATTTACTCGATTTGTCCGTCTGCATGTCAGGTACGATTCCTTTTAATTCGCAAACTATGAATCTTTTCCCGCCGCTAGTGGAACCGCTAGGGGCAGTCGACACGCCGGCGCCGGCGCCGCCACCTTGCGCCCTATAATGTTCTGCTAGAGGCGTCGGATCGGCTAATCCTCGCGCGCGCGCCAACTGGCTAGGCGCGCAAAGGGGATCGGGCAAAACCAAACACGACGGCTCGCCGCCGCAGCCCGTGCGCCTGCAATCGTGCTGCAGCCCGTTCCGTTTAATGCAATGACAACTGTAGTACATTATGCCACCCCGGAGCTCGCGGCTTTTTGTTCTTTTGAGTTGGTTTTCCTTCTCATCCTTTTTTTCAGCGCTTCCCTCCTCCGTCTGAGGCGTCGCATCATCAGACCTGCCTTTCTGTGGACATAAGCAACATCAGCACCGGTGTCAGAAACCGCCTCCCACCGTCCGCCGCGATCGTAAAGAAACTAGATTACCCATGCTCTCAGCACTCGAAGAGCGGCGCTGTGTCGTTTTCTACCATTGAGATATTAAATCAAAGTCACTAAATCGAGTCACGTAGGTCTTCCCGGGAGGCGGTCGTCGAACGCACGGCGGACAGGGCGGCGGACAAGGCTTCGGACAACTGGGGCCCTCCCTGCATAGATAGCGAATGGACCCTTGCTGGAAGAACTGGCAATCTTGTAGGCCGTTGCGTTTGAACGCAGATCTCGGTAAGCACTGAAGCTGCACAAAAATCGTAAAGATTGTACAGAAGATATTGATAAACCCATAACTTATGCGGAACGTACGGTTCACATAAATGGGGCATTAAGTACAGTAAAAGATCATTTTCGAAAAAAAAACTTACTGGAGGTCCGCAGTCTTCATATTTGTAACAAACCATCGGACCACACGGTGAACACCTGAAAGCATATGATCTCTTAATTACGGGAAAAGTGCGACGATAATACTCGTAAGAATAATCTACACTCATACATTTTCAGACACTTTCAGGGTTTTACACGATTCTCGCCTTCGAAAGGGGATAAGCTTTAATTTTATATTTTACAGATTTTTATATATTTTCTTTTTTGTATTAACAAGTTACTTGAATAATTTAGATATCACAAAAGATCAAAATTTTTTGTGAAGTTTTATTCGTGTATATTGCTCGAAAGACAATAATCTTCTGTCAATTGGTTTTCCTTTCAGTTTCCAATTTCAGTTTGAATTTTTAAATGTGAATTTCGACTGCCAGTGTTTTAGGTAAAGGTATTCGTTGATTACGCTGTATTATTCTTCCGCATTTTGCAAATGCTAAATAAAGGTTCTGCGTGAGGATTCGAGCGATGCTTAATACATGCTGTGTGCGCGGGCCCGCAGAGCGGTGCTGGCAGAACTTGGCACAGTTCTGAATCCTGACAACCGCTTCTGCGACAGTCATACTGCAGCCCGTTCCGCCGTAAACAGTAACAGTCGGTATATAAGATACCTCCTCTAAGTTCACGGCTCTTGCGACGTTTTAAAGGTGAACCAGATTGATGAGGCATTTTGTAATACAATAATTTCCTTCCTCCTAATCTTATAGATTCAATACACCTAAATTTAATTCAGAAATATTTACTAGAATTTTGGAAATATTAATTCACATTTTATGTTCAACTTGACACAGAACTCAAAGTGTACACATCTAGGTGGCTTCCTATGTATTTTAAACTGACGAGCCGTGCAACCTAAACAAAATAATATCTCATGACAAGACAATGTTATTTTAAAATTTCACAATGATTAATTAAATAATAAAAACAAGCACGACTACTCTCAGAACAGGCTCTGATGTTTTTACAGTTCTCGGGGTGAACTCACAAATACATTAATGTTTGCTTTGAGTTACGAAATCTAGTATTGTTTAAGTTCATGTTAATATTTGAGTTCTATTATACATATATGTATATATGATAAAACTGTTTTGTTTTTTAGATTATAAATCATTGCATATATGTAAAATATTAAACAGCAGAGTAAGATCTAGTATAATTTCGTTCCAAATAATAATTCTGCCAGTACCTTTATTTTTCTTTCTTAACAGACCTTTTTTGATTTATTAAACACGACCTAAGAATAAAATCACATCTTTCAATTCCAATTACAAACAAAAATGTCCTATATAAGATTGTCGACAAGTCAATCCGCAGTAGTTCAGAAAAATCTCCGGCGTTAAATAATCCTAATAAAAAAGGCTAAAAAAATCTAATAACAATTTAAGTAAAATATTTTCAGCAGCATAAGTAAAATCATTTCCTTTTAATCACTAAAATGTATGTACGCGGTCGAATTGTAAGTGTTGTTGGAGTTGATTATCAAGTGACTCCAATCATCTTCTTTCAGGTGCGGACCTTGCGGTGGTGGTTGCTGTGGAGGATGCTGTGGCCCTTGCTGCCCTTGCATCACGATCTACACTTGTTGTACGAAGATCTGTTAATACAGCAGACGGGCCAGCACAGCCATGCAGCCAGCGGAGGTTTTGCTCGGACCCATTTGTTAAGTCTACTCTGTGTCGTCATGTGCAAATAAAATTCTCGAAATCCACTTAAATTTCATTTAAAACCAACGTCACTCGAGCACTGCGTCGACCGAGAACCGGACGACAATCTTGTCGTTCTTTCTTCGACCCACAGAACGCGGAACTGTCTTAATCCGACAATCGGTTCAATTGATATTTATCGCCAGGACTGAGGAAGATCCTTCAAGATTACGAACGAATTCTTCACAAGGCGTTAATGCGGCCCCACTTTTATATTTGTCCTATGTCTAAATCTGAAAAGGTGTTAAGTTTTAATTTATAATTTTGACCCAAAGAATTAAATTCCGTACGGGAACCGGAAACGTTTAAAAAAGAATATAAGGCATAAAATAATTATAAAAAATGTATAAAGCAAATTCAATTGCATGGGCTTTTGCAAACATTTTTTCAACAGGCGCTTTGAATTCTGATGCAATTACCCTATAACTATGTAACGCCTGGTACTCGCAAACTGCAATTGTAATATTATTAAAGAGATCTTTTCAAAATATCAGCATACTTACTGTGTACTCGCAGTGGAGTCATGAATAATTGTATTCCCAGAAGAAAGTTCAGCAAGGATACTGGAATTGTGTGCGAAGTTCTTTGCGATTGCTCCAGATGGCGATTGATGTATAACTACCCGTATTGTTGGTATCGGAGAGGAAAAAGGTTTCGGTCGCTGTAATACGAGAAGATACGGTACGACTACGATTTCTCTCTCAATTTTGGAACCTTTTTTATTTATTCTCTATTCAGCAGATATTGAGTCACACATAACACACACACACACTGTCGTTTCCATATGTATCCTGATGATATAAAGCTCTATTACTCTTTCTACTTCAAAAGATATTTCTTACGTTAATTCGGATTCGTCGAATTCTCTTATTCTAATTCCCACAAAAACAAAAATTTATGGCGTTGGGATCACAAGATCCAAAATATCTCGCCTGTCATTATCCATTTCCATAAATAGCCAAGCCATTGCGAACGTGTCCATGAGTATTGAAGTCTGCATATACTTTTTGACGAAAATCTTCGATTTGAAAACCAAATTTAATTATGAGGATGCTGTATATGGGCTTAGACTCTTCGCGCGGTCAAAGGACCATACACATGGTATAAAATGCTTGCATCCGATTTCGTTGGGGTATACCCCCCGAAGCCATATAACTCCATATATTGTCAAGGCGAACATACTCAACATGGAAAACAGAAGACGTTTGCATATTGCTGCCCTACTCTATGACGTCATCTTGTCCAAGGCGCCTCAGTACCTACTTGTACGTAAATTTTTAATGTAATTTTTTTTATAATTTTAATTTAGTTTGTTTTTGTTGCAACACAAGTGTGTTCGTAACATTATGCTCAGTGGCTCCTGTTTTAGGAGTTATTATTATTATAACTATAAAAGTGTCATATCAAAGTAAACTTTTTAAAACAGCTAATTTAATGTTCAAAGCTTCATTCTCTAGAACTAAAATAAACGGAAGGTTTTGCATTCATTTTAACTAAAAAACAAACAAATTCACAAAGAAAATTCGATAACATGCACTTTTGCTTTATATTTTTATCAGGCGCTATAATTTCTAAAAAACAAAAATCGTTTAAAAATTATGTTTAGCTGTAAAAAGTGGTATATCAAACCGAACTTTCTAAAACAGATAATCTTATTTATGTAGCTTTATTCTCTATAACTAAAATAAACTTAAGGTTTAAATAAATATTTTTTATGCTACTAAAAAGCAACAAATTACATGCACTTTTGCTATATATTTTTATCAGGCGCTATAATTTCTAAAGAACAAAAATCGTTTAAAAATTGTGTTTAGCTGTAAAAAGTGGTATATCAAACCGAACTTTCTAAAAAAGCTAATCTTATTTATGTAGCTTTATACTCTAGAACTAAAATAAACTTAAGGTTTAAATTAAGATTTTTCTACACTACTAAAAAGCAACAAATTACATGCACTTTTGGTATATATTTTTATCAGGCGCTATAATTTATAAAGATTAAAAATCGTAGAAAAGAACCTTAAGTTTATTTTAGTTCTTTTCTACGACTTTCGAGTCAGAAGATATAGTGAATATTGTGAAGTGAAAAACTAAAAGTGAATGCGGCTCGAAATTTAAAGCTACGACCAAAATTTTTTATTTGCGAATTCAAAAGTGCTTATACAACTGATACAACTAAAAACAAAGTTTTTGGCTATATAGTTTTTGAGTTACCAACTTTTTTCACATTTTTGGTCATAGTGATTTAGTTTACGAATACGATCTTAATATTAATGTAAGTGCACTAGAAAGCCCTTTAAATAGGCTTTCTAACGACATATCGTTTGTTATCCTACGATAACAACATCATATGAAACCAGCGTCTTCATCTATTTGCAGTCGAGCTGAAGCAGACGGAGCGTTCGAGTCCTCATCAGGGGTCAACCTTCTGGAGCACGCCTAAGCGAAATATTGTAATGTCAAAAGAACGTCTTAGTTTATATTATTTTAAATTTTCATTAAATTACGTGTAATAGTTTTTAAGATATAAGCCATAGCATCTTTTGTTAACGGTTTGGGATACACAAATAAAAATATCACATCGATAGTTAAAAGCCAAATAATACACATATATCGCCATTTGATAGATATTTTTCTTCTCATATAGAATATAGTTTTTTAATTTCATTTGGACTTAAATTAAAAAAGTTATAAGCCTTTAAATTTCTTAAAATTTTCTAAAATTAACATTACTTTTCAGCGCTTATAACAAATAATATATAATAGACTCAGTAATTATATAATACTTATTAAAAATTTTGGTTCTTTAGCTATCGACTGAGCCCAAATACATCAAAATCCATCAACTCTAAGTATTTTTAAATAACGTTTAAACATTTTATAAGTATAAATATGTAAAGTTGCTAAAAGTTTCCAACGGTTCTTTGTTTAAAACGGTTCTAATTCAAACAAAAATGTGCCAAGAGCGATATTTTTAAAATATTTATTTAACAGCTGTACTTGAGTAAAATTTTTTAGTGAACAAACATACAAAATTATATTTCTTAAAACTTTAATATAGTATAACTTCCTTTATAATTAACTTAGATTAATAGTGCTTGGGCTCATCGTGGTCGTCATTGGACAAGCTATAGGTTAGTGCATTAAAAAAATACCCTCCCCCCACCCCGCAAAAAGAAACCCCTCACCCCCTCAAAACCGGAAACCACACCCTTAGTCCTAACAGCCCCGAGTTTGGGCTTAAACTGTTCGTCTTTAAGAGAGGAATATTTTGGCCCATCTAGTTTCCCCCTCCCCCCTCTCTTTCAATTTTTATTCCGAAATTTTTAAATTTTAATAAATTATAAGTACTTCTATAATAATTTCAGCCACAATAATTTAATTTCCCTATTGCTCGGGATACCCCCTTCCCCTCTAAAAACAACACATTTTTTCTGAGCGCCATTCGCCTCCGCACGAAAGTTCCCCCCCCCCCGCCCCATCAAATATTTTTTTACCTCACCCCCTCGGGGTCTAACTCCGGTGATTCTGGTCCTAAGTCGTCGAGATTGGGCTCAGGAGATCCGTCTCGGCACGGCGAGTCTTTTGGCTCCAATAGATTTCCTCATTTCCTCCCCCTTCCCCCTCCGAGATCGGATTCTGTGTCTGTTATCGGGAAAACAGGTTAGGTTAGGTTTTTTTTATTTTTTTTTATCCTGACTACTGGCCTACCTCCCCGACCATTAAATAATGTCGGGCCGTGGACTAAGCTGGTTATATTCCTCATTTCTTTCATTCTTTCAGTCATTCATCATCTTAAATAAGTTTTACTCTGTGTGTTTTATTTTCTTTTTACATTTCTTAAGTCCTAGGTTACAATGTTTTTATTCTAACGTTATATTTATTTACATTTTCCATATATATATGTTTACGTATAATACATCAGTTATTTGTAAATTTTATGTCTAGTATTTAATTTTAATTTTTCTATTATGTTTAAATTTTTACTATATTCCTTTCCATAGCGTTCCCTGCTCAATCTTGATATTATTTACCTTGGCAATACTCTCATGTGTTGTTTAGTGTGTGTTTTGTGAGTGTGTAGGTTTGCTCAGCAGATATTACAAAATATTTCTGGGCAAAGTGGCTTTGTGTTTTATGTTAGTGTCTTGTGTGTATGGTGAAATGTAAGTGTTGTGTGTTATGCTTGGTTTGTGTTAGTTTTTGCATTGTTTTAACTTTTCTGTCAATATTCAATAATATTGTTTAGTAAGTTGTTACAATGTGTGTGTTTCTGTGTGAGGTTGCTTAATTGTTATTCCTTTATACTAAAGGCTTTAGCAATTTATTTAATTGTGTGTGTGTGAGGTGTGTGTCTTTTAGTGTTTGTGCGTGTGTGTGTAACGAATGATTTGGTGTGTAAGTGTTATGTGTATTGTGTTCCAGCTCTTGCTATCGTGTCCCATCTTTTTCTCTCAGGGCAGTTTGGCGAGAAGAGGCCATGCCCGTCTCGGTGAGCCAGGTTTGCTCTGCTACAATTCAGGCAGGTGAGTGGCTTGCTTTGTCGCTCCATGCAGTCTTTGAAGTTGTGGCCTTTCTGGCCGCAGTGGGAGCAGAACTCCTCCTCCTCCTTACACTGCCGTCTTCCGTGCCCGTGGGCAAGGCATTTTGTGCACTGGACGAGGGGTGACTGGTCCCACACGGAGACCCTACCTTTCCTTCTCGAACCAGTGCCTTCCACAATTTAGGGGCGACCTTCAAAACAACGTAGACGGTATTGTTGTTTCTCGCTCTCCTGCGGTATCTAACCTCGGCCTTCAGATCGTCCTCCCCAAAGTGGCTGAGCAGATGTCTTTTATGTCCGCTCTTAGGTCCCGCAGGATAGGTTAGGTTAGGTTAGGTTAGGTTTGTTTTTTTTTTTTTTTTTTTTTTTTCAACTTATTGGTACATTGGTATTGGTGTTTGAGTGATATACAGATTTTAGGGGAAGAAACTTTGTGGATGCTGCTTTTGGATACAGTCTTTCCACAAAGTTCCTTTTACACTGGGTATTTACAAAATGTGGTTTCTTAGAATTAGAGTCGCTATACAAATCAAGTTTTCCTTAGTGTCTACAAGCTATACATTAACATTGTTTAACTTACATTTTATATTTATATAATTGAGAGCTTTATTATACAATCCAATTTGTGACATTAATACATAATTTTCTTATATTTATAGAAACAAAGTATTTACATATATATATAAGGTTATACAATGCTAAGTTGTTTGCTGTGAGGTTATTACAGTTAGGGATTTTAACTTTTTACAATGAGAGAAATTTACTGATTACATTTAAGTGTTATTATACAATTTCAGGTTATTTACTATATATTTAACGAATTTATCGATGGCGTCGATCGCAGCTCTGTTTAGGAGAGAGTCTTTTAGGTTGAAGGTGTCTGGTGTGGTTAGGTTAGGTTAGGTTAGGTTAGGTTTTTTTTTTTTTTTTTTTTTTTTGTCGGTCCTAATAGCCTACCATCCCCGGCAGCATTGCTCCGGGGCCGAGGAGGTGAGAGAACCTGATCATAAGAAAACGGCGCTTATGAGATACGCCAGAATTCCCAGGGTGTGTAAGTGTAGGTGTAGGATTTTTATTTATTTACAGTATTATAATTAATTTTACATTTTTACTTAAGACTTATTTGTTACTACAACTTTTTTAGAACTAACTTATGATTTACATGTTTATTCTACTTACAGTTTTCTTAGAAACTAACTTATCATTTACGTATTAATTCTATTTACAGTTTTTACTTAAGACTAATTAATGTTTAACATTTATTTATATCAGTAGAACTAAAATTTACTTTGTTTAGGTGCCATTAAACGTTTTGAGGTTATTAACGATGTTTTCAATAAGTTTTACAAATAATTCTGTTGTTTCGTTCTTCTTAATTATTTCCATAAGGAAAAGGGGATGGTGTGGGTCAATTTGGAAATTGCTACAGGAGATAATGAAATCAAGGCGAATGTTGTTAAATCGTGGACAAGAAAAAATGAGATGATCAAACGTTTGTGACTCTGCGCCGTCACAGGGGCAGAGATCGTCGGGGGTAATATTGAATCGATGAAGATAGGATTTCGTGAAGGAATGGTTGGTCAGGAATTGAGTAATGGCGAAAGAAGGTTTTATAATAGAGAGAAATGCAGATAAATTTTCAAAAGTTGGGAGGTATTTTTTAGTATGGCCGGAGGTGAGGAGCTGTTCATAAAATGCTTTTCTGGATTCTGTTAATGATTCACGTAGTTGGAGTTTTATATGAGAGATAGGGGCGCAAATGAGGTCGGGTGGTTTATGGAGGACGGCAGCGGATTTGGCAGCAATGTCAGCGGTCTCGTTGCCAGCGATTCCAATGTGAGCCCTAACCCATGCAAAACCGACGCTGATGTTACTTAGTCCAATTGTATGAATTAGTTTGAATATATTTACTGCAAAGGAATTGTAAGAGTATGGATTAGATAGCTCCTGAAGGGAAGATTTGCTATCTGAGCAAATTACATATGATCTAGCTTTTTGTGCTTTTGAGGTGATCCACTCACAAGCCTTTTGGATTGCAAGCATCTCGGCCTGGTAAACGGAGCAGGAAGGGTGGAGCTTAAATTTTTTGGTGACGTGGATTTTACATGGGTCATAGACCACGAATGCTGCGCCAACTGCGCCATCGTGTTTGCTGCCATCCGTAAAGATGTGATGCATGTACTTGCCGGCAAATGAGTCGAATTCTTCCACAGAGTTAATCTCTGTGAAGGTTATGGGGGTGCGTAGAGAAGGATGTAGGAGAGATGAAGGGGGAGCAAATTTTTCTAGAGGGATGTCCGAGGGAAGAAAAGGGGAGAGGCCAAGAAGTTTGGAGGATTCAATGGTTGCGATTGATTTAATTTTATCGGGGAGAGGGATGAGCTGAGCGAGCGATATGGAGGTGACAGTGCTTAGTGTGCGAAAACCGTGGACTATTTTGATCGCGAAGAGACGTTGGAGAGAGAGGAATTTTTTGGTTATAAATTTATATTTGAGGGAGTTGGACCAGATGTTTGTTGCATAAGAGATGATAGGGATGATGACCTGTTCGTAGATAGTGCGGATATTATCTGAATGGACGCCCCATGTGGGACGGGTGTAGAGAAGGAGCTTGTAGAACAGTTTTTTAGCTTTTTCTATGATATATGCCGAATGTTGTGTGAATTTAAATTTATTATCTATTATAACGCCGAGATATTTGAAACTGTTAACAAAAACTAGTTGAACGTTGTTCATGCTAATGCTGACCGATTCCGCCCTGCCAGTGAAACCAGTTAGTGTCGTTTTTTCGGGACCGAAGCACAGTTTAACGCTTACCCCCCAGTTGTAAATAACGTCAAGTGCAGAGTTTGTGATAGTCTTTAGTTCAGTAAGGGAATGGGAGTGTTGATAAGTAGCACGTCGTCAGCATAAGCCTGGATGTGACATCCTGCTGGGAGGCTAATGTCCAGGAGCTCGTCCATGATCAGATTCCACATCGTAGGACCACACACAGACCCCTGGACACAACCCCGGGACATGGTTTTAGTTACGGATATGTCAGAAAAGTCAAGTCCCACAGTCCTATTGTCAACGTAGCTTATTAAAATTTTATATATATTACTGGGACAGTCATAGTGTCGTAGTCGAGAAAAGACAGCAGGCCACCACGCGTTATCAAACGCAGCTTTGATGTCGAGGGAAACGGCGATAACGTGTTCCCCCGCAGCTTTTTTAGATTTAATAAAATTAAGGGCAGTCTGAATGGCCACCGAGGTGGAAGTCTGTTGTTTAAAACCAAATTGTCTAGGGTTGCTGAGTTCAAGTCGGTTTAAGTGGAAAGTAAGTCTGTCAATGATGAGTCTTTCGAGAAGTTTCCCCAAGACATTGATAAGGCCGATAGGATGATAGAAGGGAGTAATTATCTTTACTGGGTTTGGGAATAATTTTGATCACAGCATGTTTCCAGGGTCGTGGAAAATATTGCAGGGAAAGGCATCTATAATACAAGCTAGTGAGGAAATCAGGGAAAAGGGTAGCAAATTGAAGACAAATATCAGATGTTAAGTGATCAATGCCAGGGGCTTTCTTGTGATTCATATGTCTAATACCGTTGAGTATTTCAGTAGAGGTGAAGTCAGGTTCAAGAGGTGTATTAATAGGTAGTGTCATTAATGTCCTCAAAGATTTCTGAGACTCAGTGTCATCTGTCGTATCGTCAGGAAAAAAGTTGTTAATGAGGGCGTCTGCTGTGTCATGAGTTGAGGAAGTGAAGGAACCGTCGCCGAGTCGGAGTGTGGAAGGCGGTTGAGCTAGAGGTTTGGTTTTTATTATCCGGTTGGTAACTGACCAGACATCCTCTTTGGACTGTCTATTACAGAATTCCTTGAAGTGCTCGGTGGATGCAGTACAAAAGGCAGTAGAGTACTCTTTTCTTGCTTTATCTCTTTC